TGACTTTATTATCTTTATTTAATAATATTTTAATTAATTAAATATATATCCGAATTTTGAAATTTCAAACTATCTATCTAATTTTTGAATATGTGTATATAATATATTTGAATTATGAATTTTTCCCATTGGACATTTACAGTAAAAGCCCATTAGGCTTCAAATGTGCTTGTTACGGCCCATTATGGATTATGGACTTCTTAATTTTAGAGGGGATCATTATAATTACATTATTAAAATATTTTCTGGCTGGTAAATTAGGTTTTGGCTCCCTAACATTTCATGTAGTATGATAATGAATTCACAATCTTTCAATGATAAGTTTTACTTATTGGGTTCATATCTATATTCTTATGTAAATTTGGACCCCACATTACGAAAAATCATTAATTTGGTCATTCAACTTGCATACAATTTTTAATCGAATTGGAGACAAAAGTTAAATAATTTGACAATTTTACCTTTCAACCATGAATTACATGAAAATTACGTGTAATTTTATTTACAATACTTAATAACGTTCTCCAATAATATACAACAAAAGTACTTTAGCCTTGTCTAAGCCACATTATTTTTTTTAGAATATATTTTTGAATAATGTATTGAAGGAAAATATGTGGTTAAAAAAATAAAGAAATTTTTTGGATTTAGGTGTAATATTATTTTATTGAAAAATGTGTGGTTGAAATGATATTACATCACTGTTTAAAAATGTATTCTTTTAAAAAAATGTGGTTCAAATATATCCTTACTCAAGGCCAAATTTTATTGGACCTTTCCAATAAAATTAGTAAAGGTCCAATGAAATTAGTTATACAATCAATATTATCCAATTTATACTATTACTCTATTTTATTGGACTTTTCTATGGACCCACCTAATACTATCAAAACTACAAAAAAAAAAAAGGTTGAACCCCAACCTTAAGGACCCTCACTGACTCTGCCCTGGACCATCGTGAAGGAAGTAAATCGCAAGATGTGCCTCCCAGGAGCCAGGGTGGAGAGTATATGGATAGGACAAGGCTGTTAATCCATATGGTAACTCCCGCTTGCAACAAAGCCAATTCCACTTTGCGGGGAATCGAACTCTGCACACTGCCGCGCTGAACCCTATCCGCCCTCCCCTTTGTCACTGAAAGATATGTCCTGGGGGCAAAAAAAAAAAAAAAACTACATACAAAATCGATACGTAACGTGGTAGTACAGGCATACTCAAATTTTCAATTCAACCACCGCCGGAAGATTCGTGGCCACGGTCGAGCAGCCAGTAACCACCATCTCTGCTTCCGCCACGTACATACACATCTTGTGGCCATTGGATTGCTATTAAATTGTGTGGTCGGCTCATTTATCACCGTTAGAAATTTGACACGTCTCCTAAATCACTGTATCAGTGGACCAGGTAATTATAGTTTATACTTTGAAGCAAATGGCTCTCTACCGTTAAACATGTAAAACCTTTCATTTTGATTTGACCAAATATGTGAACCAATGAACACACCTATGCTGGCACCTTTTTACACACCGGTTTTTTTCCCTTGAAAATGATATTTTCTTTGGAAATTAGCGAGTGATGCAATTCGAATTAATGAAGGGTTTTTGGTTCATCATTCATTCTAGAGGAAACGTGACGAATTTATGCCACGTTTGGTTTAATTGAAGTTTAAATTAACAGTTAATTTTAATCACATACGTATTTTAAAAGATCTATAAATTTTCAACAATATATTTTATCAATTCTTATCAAAATTTACTAAATCTGATTTAATCCCTACCAAACACGAGCGTGATGAAATAAAATGAATGTATGTAGGATCACACTAAAGAAAATAAGATTAAAGTAAAAAAATTGAAAAGAGATTAGTAGAGGAATAGATGTTTTTATTAAAGACAATATGTGGAGAGAATACAAAAATTCAGTAATAAAGCTTCACTTAAAACTGAATGAAGAGCCACATATTTATAGGGATATATCAAATCCTAAAAATATTATAAAGATGAAAATAATATAAAAAATAAGAGTAATGTTATTCGTAATCGCTTACTTTGGTAGTCGCCCTACATGACATACACATGACAGATAGTTATTTGATGTATGAGTCCATAAAAAGTTATCACATTAATGCATTAAATAATCATTTGTCACGTGTATGTCACGTAAGACGATTGTCGTAATGAGCGACGGCGAATAGCATTATTTTAAAAATAATGTAGAATAAAGGAAATAATATTTTTCTAATAAAATCACATGAAAATAAGGAAACAATATTTTTCAAAAAATCCACCATAATTTGGGACAAAATCTAACAAGATTGTATTTGATAAATACATATTGAATGCAATAACAATTTCTTTAATTTTCGATCGTTTGACGAGAGAGAAGGAAAAAAAAAGATCTTGTTATTTTTGCAACATTCCGTATTATTAATTAATGCACAATCTACTTTATCCAGTAAACAACGAGCGAATTTTGGGATTTCCGGGGATGTCAAATAAAATGTACAAAGTTTTAACATTTTCTCTTAAATATTGTTGAATCTATTTAATTAAACATGTCGTAAAAATAATAAATTAACGCTAATCATTAGTTTTAGCACCAATCACGCAGATTAATGCCAGATTTGGGGGAGTGGCTATTTTTTCTGTCCAATTCGGAATTCCCCATTCAATTAAATAGTAGATGAATAATAACATTGTATTAACATAGGGTACTTCTTGATCCCGCTTACTAGATTTATTGATTGTTATTAGATTTGTTGCTAAAATATCGATATTAAATCCGAAACTCCCGACAGATGGCCAGGTAAAGATTGAAGAATATAGTTATATATATTATGGAAAATATTATAGTTTAAGGCACAAAATCCATCACAAGAGAATTTTATATATACTTAGTCCTTGCTTAGAGAGAATTCAAATCAAAATTTTTAGTAAATTTTGAAAAAAATTGATAAAATGTGTAGTTAAAAAGTTGTGGATATCATAAAAAATGTAGTTAAATTAATTATTGACTTTGGTTTATATTAACATTTAGATTAATTTCTACAAATAGGGGCTTAAAATTTAATTATGTAATTTTTTATTTTTTTATTTACTTGATAACATTTATAAAATTTCCCCTCAATTAATTTTTGTCATAAGTATGAACATTTAACTTTGGCTCGTTTGACATGATTTTTATTCTTGTTTTTGCTTATGAAAAACTTTTGAAAAAGCTACTTTAATTTTTGCTTGAAAACTAAGGCTTTATTTGAGCAATATTCTTTAAAAAAATATATATTCTTAAACAGTGATTTGACATCATTTCAATCACATATTTTTTAATAAAATAATATTATATATAAATTTAAATTTTTTTTATTTTTTAACTATATATTTTTCATCAATTTACTATTTTAAAATACATTCATTCAAAATAATGTGACTTAAACGCATACAAAATTTAAAAAAAAAAAAAAATCCCTATTTTACAAGTTTCGAAATAGAAATGGAAAAGCTTTTGGTTTATATTGGGAAATGGTGGATATTTAAATGGTACAATTGGAAAGAGAAAGACATAGAAGCTAATGCACATCACATAACGTCAAAATTCGCCACGTGTTCGACAATTATAAGTCTTTAAAATTCCTGGTGTAGATTTTATCTCTCTCTCTATAGGGGTTGGTACAATGAGATATTTTGGACAGGTTGGCCATACAGACACCATATCATAGTATGACATACATTTTCTTCATAAAGGAACCCAACTATTTATTTATGTTATTTTCTCCCATCAATTTTATTTACTTCGTTTTTTATCCCAGAAACTTATGAGTAATTGTAGAATTAATATTGCCCAAAATCCACCTCAAAAGTATTGGTAAGATTTATTTTATTTTACTAGAAATGTCAAAATTTCTAGAGCAATTGCGTGAAGATGAAATGCTTTACTTGTGTAGTTAGAAAATATGTATTTTGTATATCATATTTTACGTGTGAATCGAGGAGCAAAAAGATGAAGCATATAACAAAATCACGTTAAATGTATTTTTCTTGTACATAAAAAAAATCAAATAAATAATAATTTGTTACTTTAAAGATTCAGCTCACAAAAGGGTAATGAATTGCTTATTGATTAATTCTTGATTTAATTAACATATTGTATTTTTATTATGTTTATTGATGGCATGAAATGAGATAATATACTATGCCCTTTTTTGAGCCCCATTTTTGTCAAGAAAATGCATTTTTGAATAGTATAATGATGTGAAATGTGTGGTTAAAAAATAAAAAAAAATTTAAATTTTCATGTAATATTATTTTATTGAAAAATGTGTTGTTGAAATATTATTAAAATACTGTTTAAGAATGTAATTTTTCAAAAAAAAAAAAAATAGGACTCAAACAAAGTAAAGAAGAATTTTGAATTTACGAACAGAATAATTTATTATTTGAATGTGTAGTTGAAAATAAGTATACAAAAAAAGTTTTGAATTAATAAGAGACAAAAAAGGGTTTCGTCAATTGTTATTGTATATTTTATATGTAGTAGATCAAATTTGGAATTAAAGATCTTAAGGGGCTTTATCTGACAAATTCCGTAATATGGAGGGCATTATTTGCAAAAGAAAAGGACTTTGAGTTGTTCGAGACGACGAGGTTTTGTGGAAGGGGATGGATACTTATGAGAGAGGAGAGAGAAAGACAGTAAACAGCAGTTTATTTATATAAAAAAAAAGTTAAATCCCAATCTTTAAGGCCTTCATCGCCCTATTTCTAGAGTTTTGTGAGGGACGTAAATAGCGAGATGTATCCCAACAGGTCAGGGAACAAGAGCTAACTGTACACTGCGCCTGCAAAAAGTTCAATTCTATTTTTCAAAAATCGAACCCTCATACTGCGACTGTCAACAAAGCGTGAGATAACCTCACTTCTCTCCTTTGCACCACTGAACTACGTCGGGGCAGCAGTTTATTTATATGTATGTATGTATGTATGGTGAGAGGAGGAGAGCTGTAATAAGGGCTCTCTCTCTCTCTCTCCCACCAACTTTTCCTCTCTCAATCTCTTGATTCTCTCTCCCAGTCTCTCATTGCTCTCTTCATTCTGTCCTCCTCCTCCTCCTCCTCCTTCACTCTCTCTCTCCTCTCTCACCCACAAACACACTTTTCTTCAATACTGGTCTGCCTTAAAATCTGCCTCCCTTTAAATCTAGTCCATATTATTCATTTCAATGTGATCCTTCTCTTCCCTAAATCCCCATACTCACTCTCACACCATAAATCTCTCCTCTCACTTTTCTCTCTCGATCTTTTTTTCTCAGCATCCTTTAAATTTGTCTTTTTTCTTCAAACGAATTTCGTTTATAATTTGTAAAGATGAAAATTAGGGTTTGCGAATTGTGTGATGGAGATGCTGCAGTTTATTGTTCTTCAGATTCTGCTTTTCTTTGCTTGAGCTGTGATTCTAAGGTCCACCAGGCTAATTTTCTCGTAGCTCGCCATGTACGCCGGCCAGTTTGCTCGAAATGCAAGGGGATAATCGGAGATTGCATCGCCGGCATCGGTTTATGTGGTTGTTTACCGGCGTCGGTGGATGATGAGTCTAATGACCTAGTTTCGGTCTCATCTTCAGAGTCTTCGATTTGCGTTTCGAGAACTATGACAAAGAAAAAAGAATACTCCAGTCATCGGGAAACTCGTGGATTTAACTCTTCTTCCTCCGGCAACGACAGTTCAGGCGAGGTCACGTCGGAAAATACATTGAGAACTCGAAGGGGAGCGGTGAACTTGAAGGCGAAGGGCATTTTCAGCAATTGGTGCTCGCGGCTTGGACTAAGCAGTAACGTGGCCGTACAGATGTCTTGTGATGCGCTGAGGATATGCTTGGATCATTGGAGGGTTTTGCCCTTCCGAGTTTGTCTGGCGGCTTCGATGTGGCTCGGCTTGCGATTCAGTGGGGCGCGAACACGGCAATCTTTGAAGCGACTGGAGGAAATTTCTGGAGTGCCGGCTAAGCTTATAGCTGCGGCAGAATCGAAGCTGGAACGTTTGCTTAAAGCCAGAAAACGACAGCATCGGCAACATCAGCTATTGGAAGGCTGGGGTGAGTGTTAAAAGCTTAATCGGCTTGATACCGGCGCCGCCTTTGATTTTCTGTTGTTAGTCAAGGAAAATGTACTTCTTTATTTTTCCAGGTTCCAAATTCTGGAAATACTTTATTTTTTTCTTAGGGGAAATGGATTTTCCCTTGGGTTAGTTATGGCTGTTTACTTGTGATTAATCAAAATTTGTAGTATCAATCAAAGTTTTCTAATTATTATTATTATTATTATTATTATTATTATTATTATTATTATTATTTATTTTTTAATATACGAATATCGGACTATCAATCAGTTGGCTACTTCACAACTGATGTGCAATATTTTTTACTCCATCTATACCTCTAATATGATCGATGAACTTGATAATTTATCACAATACATAATCTATTTTTCTTCGCGAGATTGAGAAATAGTTCGTCTATTTTTAGGAACGTGTTGATGTTATAAACCTACAATTAAATTGTTGATTCCGAAAAACACCTTGTATGATCAAGTCTTCCGCTACATTAATTATCTAGTGGATCCCACGATCACACAGCGACATCAAATTAGAGTTCAATACACTTGCGAACCAAGGGTGGCGACTCGTCTAGCAATATTTTGAAATTTTGTTTAAATCTATGTAGAAGTTTTGAAGGTTTTAATAGAGATGACATTTTTTTGCCTCATTAAAATGTTTTGGCTCCACCACGGGTTGTATACACTATCAAGTGGACGAAGCAAATAGAAAATACTATAATAGGAACGTATTCCCCTTTCGATATTGTTTTGCAGCCATTAAAAAATTCTAACTCTATCACTGATTCGATGCATTATCAAGTAAATGGAGAATGCTATAACGTGGGGGTGCATTAGAATTTTCTTAGACATGGCAAGGAAATTGTTGGTTAAAGCAAGTTTACAAGCACATGATTTATTCCATGGCCAAGTGCCAAAGCCATCAACCACACATACGATTGTGGTGCAAGACAAGTATTAAAATCTTCAACAAAAATAGTACGTCTACTATTACTATGTAAATGTGAGGCTAACATAAGTACCAATAAGGAATATCAAAAAAAAAAAAAAAGGTTGAACCCCAACCTTAAGGGCCCTCACCGACCCTGCCCTGAGCCATCGTGGAGGAGGTAAATCGCAGGATGTGCCTCCCAGGAGCCAGGGTGGAGAGCACATAGATAGGCTAAGGCTGTTAACCTATATGGTAACTTCCGTTTGTAACAAAGTCAATTCCACCTTGCGGGGAATCGAACTCTGCACACTGCCGCGTTGAGCCCTATCCGCCCTCCCCTTTATCACTGGGAGATATGCCCTGGGGGCGTACCAATAAGGAATATCGAATGTATGGGTGATTGTGGATCCATATTTAAAAAAGTTGTTGGAAAATAATCAAATGAAGAGAGAGAGAGAGAGAGAGAGAGAGAGAGAGAGAGAAGGAATATTAAAAAAAAAAGGTTGAACCCCAACTTTGAGGGCCCCCACCGTCTCATCCCTGGAGCATCACAAGGGAGGTAAATCGCGAAATGTTCCTCAACAGGTCAGGGAACAAGAGCTTATCCGTACACTGGTATTCACAAAGAGTCCAATTCCATATCTCAGGAATCGAACCCTCACACTGCGACCGCCAGCAAGACTGAGACTACTTTACTCATATCCTTTACACTATTGAATTATGCCCGCGGCTACTAAGAAGGAATACGATATGTATAGGTGGTTGTGGATCCATGTTTAAAAAAGTTGTTGGAAAAGAATCAAATGAAGAGAGAGAGAGAATGGTTGACGTGAATTCAGATTTAGATTCTTTGCTTTCAAGTTTAGGGATGAATATCGACCATAACTTTGTATCTTAATTAATAATTATTATGTTTAATATTTTAAGCTCAATGGGACATTGTGTCTCTTTCATGTGCAATTAATGTAACCGGATGGAGTTTTATTAATATTTTATGTATAATATCTGATCGGTTTGACCAGCTTTAATTATATTATTATCATGTTTGATTCCATTCTTTTCTCATTAAAATAAAAAATATGACATTTATCTATCACATTAAGTCATCAAATTTGAATTTCTATCTCTTCTAGGGGATCCGTAACTGCTCGATTTTTTATTTTCATTCTTTCAAAAATGAGAAATAAACGGGGCTATATGTTTTTACTTTTGGTAAAAGAGTTTGTTGAGAAAGTTACTTTAATTGATGTTTAGAAACTTATTTCTAAAAGTGTTTTCTTCTCAATTTCTTCTAAGACCTCATTTAACTAGATATATATATATATATATATATATATAAACCAAAGATTTTCAAAAATAACATTTGGTTTTCAAAAACTCTTTTTGATTTCTTAAAAATCACGTCAAACGGGCTTTTGATGTTTTCTTTCTTTCTCTCTCTCTCTTTTTATTTTTATTTTTTAAACACCATGGAAAATATAAAGAAATAAACACAATACATTATTAGAAATTATCAAATAACTTCTTGATTTAAACTCGGACAGGGGTATTCATTCACTTCAAAAAATAAAAATTAAAAATTCACTTTTACCTAAATAAATAATTCTTAGTTCATTCATGAAAATTATAAAACAATGGAGTTGGTGTCCCTATATCATATTTCCAAAAAAAAAAAAAAAAAAAAAAAAAATTTNTGATCTGCCAAAGTGACGAGCGAGTCAAACCCATGTATAAGCCTTGCCTTTCAGGAGAACTCCTGCCTTCCAGAAAATATCATGTCTTCCAGGAGAAAACCTGCCTTCCAAGAGTCCAATGAATCAAATCCGCTACCTCTGAACCGCCGACCTTGAAGAGCTCCGTCATTTGTCAATTGGGATGTGCCCCAGAGGGCCATTAAATTAGTACTTGTTAAGTATAAAGGTGGCCGCTCATTTCCATTAAAATCTAATTATTTTAAAAATAAGTTGATTTTCCCAAAATTTGGATGAATGACAATTTGGTGGAGATAAGGGGTTTTATGCTTAATAATCTCAAAACCGAATGTAAAATTTGACATTGCTCCCTACTCAATTTTCATTTTTGAATAAATTCTAAAGTAATCCAAAAATATAGTTCTGAATAACACAAACTACGTTTGGTTTGGATAAAAATAAGGATTTTAATAGATTTTAAAAAATGTTGATAAAATGTGGTTAAAAAGACGATAAAAATTGTGGATCACATAAAATTTGTGGTTAAAAATGAGTTTGAAAAAAAAAAAAAAGAGGAAATTATAAGATGAAGATCAAACATGAACCTAATCTTTCAACGTTAAGGTTCGAAGGCCTTTGTAAAAAATCACTCATTGCCCTTCTATGATAAACAATTATCCAATTTGAAAGAAAGCTTTTACTCCAGCCTTTAGGAGTTCTTTTTTTGAGCATCTCCAATGTAATCATGAATTACTTAAAATAATTGCAATGTAAGGTAATTAAAAAAAAAAAAAATGAAAAACCTCTTCAATGCAAGCTAGCAATGACTCCCGTTAGACATGTTAATTAATTTTGTTTCTCAAGTTTTTAAAATATTAGATTTTCTTTCCCTTCCACTCTATTTTATTATCTTTGTTTAAATGTTAATAAACGACACGTAGGTTGAAATATTAGAATGTAGATGGAACCAATTGAAAACCAATTTTAGACATGATTGTCTATTAGTTAAACACCAATGTCACGTCGACTAGAAATCCGTCCTTCTAAATACTGTATAAACTGAAATCCACGAATCCATTGAAGATGACCTTAAAAGATGGATCATGGACGTCCCAGTATTTCTTTACTTTTGAAGAGCGAAGGTCAAAACGTTATACTAAATTCTAATTTACAAGAACAATAATATATTTGAACATTATGGACACTAGTCTGAGACCTTGAGCAAGAATATTTGTTTCCATGTTTCCATGTAAATATTTCAATACTTCGGCCGGTAGAAGAATGTGAAGTTATCAACAACATGAGAATTTATATTAGCAAGGTTCAAAAATCATACACACACAACGTGAGAATCATAAAGGCTAAGTTTATTAGCAATATAATTATTTTGCCATATTCTAATTGCATTTAAAGTCCTCAAGTTTTTTCCCCATTATAACACTCATGTTCCTAACTTTTTTCTTCAAAATTTTCTTTAATCTTCTATTGAATAAAACATATCATCATTGGTGATGATTTTTGTCAAATATTCTGTTTGTGTGCTTTAAAATGAGAGAAAAATATTTTTTTTCACTCTTTTGCATCAATTTTTTTTTTTCTAAATACGATGGATAAATAACTCTTCTTAAAGTTGAGATCCTTTATTCAATTTTATTGTCCATCAAATTAATTCTTGACATATTATCAATTTAGTGTGTTAGTGGTGAACCTAATAAGGGTAAATTTGAGATAATATATTAATTATTGATGGCATATCAAGAATTAACTAGATATACAGGAAGATTGGATAACATTGCTCTACTCCTCTTTTTATGCCATCTTAACAGATGTTTTTTGATGGAATCGATTATTAGAGACAATTTGTCTTAATTAATGAAAGGTTAATAATAAGAATACATTGAAAAAATTAGGAATATATGGGTTACAATGAGAAGATATTGAGGCAATCAAGTATAATTAAAATATTGTGTAACAAATAAAAACGTATGGTGAATATAATAATTACCGAATAAAAAATTCTCTTCCAACAGCTGCCAAGGGTTTTTGATTTGTTGTTTAGAGCATCTCCAATGCATTATATGAATTATAGTCTCAGTGGCAGATAAAAATAAATAAGTAAAAGGAAAGAATGAAAAAGAGAAATTCCAATGATCTAAAGAGAAAAAGAGAATAAAATAAATTATTAAGTCAACATGTTTATCATAGTTTCTAAAATTCAATGTTCTAAAAAGCGTGCTTAGATGACGCCTAGCGGGCAAAGTGCTTTGCCTTAGCAGTAAGCATGAATTAAGTGATCTATTGCTAAGTTGACTGCTTAATGCGTGTCTAGATGCACTTTATTATTTTTTCTTTTTTGAAAAAATCTTTTATTAGACTTTAGTTTAGTAACTTTTTTAATTTTTGTATTTTATTTCAAAATTTTAAATGACTTTATCTGTATAAAAATAAAAAATAACTTTATCTGATAAAGATTAAGATAAGATTTAAGTTATCATACTTTCTATATTATGTTATTATAATTTTGAAACTTTTTATTTTGTTGGAAACTTCGAAACTACATATGAAATTTCTGTAAAATCTGTTAAGTAGAATTTGTCTAGTTGAAATTTAAAACTATGAAAAATAATCTAACTTTTGTATTTTGAAAACTTGAAAATTTTATAATTAACCAATTGTAAGAATTATTAAGTAAATATAATATTTTATAATTTTAAATGTTTGATACATATATATGGGCCATGAGTAACATTAATTTCTTTAGTTACTTATGATGGTTCACGTTTTCGGGTCGAACCTTTGGACTTGATTGTTGGTAATAATTTCACTCATCAGCTAATGCATATAAAATTCAATCCAATGTTTACATCATAGTCCGAGATTCATTGGGTATCAAAGCCCAATAAATCTCCACCTTGATACCCAATCAATCTGCAATTAATCAAAACACAAAGTTAATAGTGGCATAATTAAGGTAATCAATAAAATTGGGATAATCAACCTTACCTTGTGTTTTGGACCCGAAACACATATCATACCTGCTTCATAAATTCACCAAGGCTAAGGTTAAAAACATCCAAGTAGAAGTAGCCATTTTTATGAAAAAATGAATTTTAGAATACTAGATTGATGGAGAATGTGTGATTGAAAAATAAAGAAAAGTTTTTGATTTACGTGTAATATTATTTTAATAAAGAATTTGTGGTTAAAAAGAAGAGAGTAAAAAATATGTTTTGATAAAAATGAAAATCAAACGGGGCCATAACATAGGATAACACACAAATCTTATAAAAAATTCGTTCATACATGACAATAGATTAACACCTAGTTAATCAACAAGTGGCCATCACATATATAATAAATGCATAAATGATCCAAGAAAAAATCTCACCACACATATCATATTTCATTCTCTATGTTGCTAACATCTTGAGAATACATATCTCCTCTCATTGTCTACCATGCTTATTAGACTAATAACTTAATTCATGTCTAACTGGTAAACCACTAAAGATCCTAAGTTCATGGGATAATCCTATCACTATATTACTTCTTCCAGCGTAAGTGGATAACATGTCTCCACCCAACATAATTGATAGAAGTATCTTTCTCACACTCCACATGTGATCCAAATGTCACATACCACATCCCTGTTACATAACCCTAGGCATCTATACTCCACCTCACCAATAGATTCACAATATGTTTACTGCTAATATATCCCAACACAAGTGCATGCTAATACAAATACACCAAGTAATCAAATTGCATGTATCAATTTAATTGATTCAATTTTTTGTCATATATATTAATATAAAATAAGGTTTGGATGAGTATGTTCAAATTTCGAAAAATGAACACTTATGCATATAGTTAATTGCTCAAATGGAATATTGTGATTTTTTATTTTTTTAAGTGACAAAATGTTACCTTTTCATTTGTGTCATTTTTCCACATTCTCAAAGATCTTACATACGTCAATTTAATTGATTTAAAAATTTCTTTTTCATATGTATTAACATAAAACAATGTTTGAATTCATATATTAAAATTCCAAAAACGCACACATGCATGCATAAAATTAATTGTTCAAATGAGATATTGTAACTCTTTTGAGAAAAGTAACAAAATGTCACTTTTTTTCATAGAAAAGTGATATTTTGTCACTTTTTCACATTCTCATTTTTCAAAGAACTTATATGCATCAATTTAATTGATTCATTTTTTTTCCATATGTATTAACATACAACAAGATTTTGAATTCGTATGTTTAAATTTCCAAAAATGAATACATATGCATATTGTTAATTGTTCAAATGAGATACTGTGACTTTTTAAAAAAAGTAATAGAATATTACTTTTTACATTGTGTCACTTTTTCATAGTCTCCTTTTTTTCGAAGATTTTGCATGCATTAATTTAATCGATTCAAAATTTTCTTTTTCATATGTATTAACATAAAATAAAGTTTGAATTCATATGTTAAAATTTTCAAAAAATGCACATACATATACATAAAAGTTAATTGTTCAAATGAGATACTTTAACTTTATTGAGAAAAGTAATTGAACACTTTTTCACATTCTCATTTTTCAAAGAACTTGCATGCATCAATTAAATTGAGTTAAAGTTTTTTTTCCCCATACGTATTAACATAAAATAAGGTTTGAATTCGTACGTTAAAGTTTTCAAAAACTAACATGTGTACATTTAGTTAATTGCTTAAATGAGATACTATGATTTTATTTTATTTTATTTTTAAAGTGACACAATATCACTTACCATGCATGCATCATTTTAATTGATTCAAAATTTTCTTTTTCATTTGTATAACATAAGACAAGGTTTGAATTCATATGTTAAATTTTCCAAAAAATTCACACGTGTAATTGCTCATTTGAGATATTGTGACTTTTTTTGAGAAAAGTGACAATTACTTTTTCACATTCTCCTTTTGTTAAATATCTTGTATTCTTATATACATCATTTTAATTGATTCAAAGCTAATTTTTCATATGTATTGACACATTCTATTTCCTCTTAAGTCCAACAATGTTATTTTCAAACATATTTCCAATCACAATAACAAAATCATCAAAAAGAAACTTTATAAATATTAATTATATACATCATAAGATTTCAACTAAAACTAATCACGAAATTCAAATAAAAAGTGAGATAGACAATGAACTAAGATGATTAGAATTTGTAAGTGAGAGATCATTCAACTGAAAATTGATAATAACGATTGTTACTTTCAAAATCTATGCAAAAAAAATATTATACAATCTTAAATTAATAAAATTGGAGAACTAATTAAATAAGTAGTCCAAAACATATATAAAAAAAAACTTGTAACTTTGTTTGTATTTTTGTGGAAGAATTCCTTGACTTTTTTCCAGAGCTTTCGATATTTTTGTGGAAGATTTTCTCGACTAATTACACACCTCTATCAATCTTTTTCCAGAGATTTGAAGAATGAACTAATTTTGTTTGCATATTTATGGAAGATCTCCTCTTTTTCCTTTCAAATTTTCTTTGATTTTTGCATATTGAAGGTTGATTTTGAGGATTGTCGTTATTTTAGAGCATTTATTTTACGTTTAGTTTTAACTAATTATCATTTAATCTAAATTTATTATGTTTTTTCAAAACTACCCCAAAATATAGGGTATTTGTGAAGACCCCTATGGGCTAAAACATTTTCAATGCATTTCGTGGATGGAATAGACATTTAAACTCCGTTTGACCCCCATTCTCCTTTAGTCCTTTTCATTCATTTTCTCTCTTATTTTTAATCATGCAATTTTCTATAAAATAATATTACAAGCAAATAAAAAACTTTTCATTTTTTTTCAACCACCTATTTTTCAAAAAAAAAAAAAAAATACTATTCCAATAATTAAAATTTGTATAGAATGAGGGGGCCAAACGGGGGCTTAAACAGATTAATTTTTAGCTAATGTGGCATTGGTATTTGGATTTGATCTAGTTGTACATACTTTTTGAACAACCAGTCTAACATTTCATGTCGTGGCGAAAATCCAGCCCTTGACTTGACTAGGTGCTTGTTTGGTAGGAATTTTAATAATTGATTTTTTGACCGTTGGTTCTACTTGTGAGAGAGAATAATTCAAAAATGACGATTGAAATAGTGAAATAACGATAAAAAAAATTGATTTTAATTGGCTTAAAATTTATACTAAACAGGCACTAAGTGTTATTCAAATCAATCATCACACTATTTGCCACATCATAGGATGTCAGTGAAGCTGTCAAAGTAAATGTATATATAGCAAAACTGCCAAAACTATGGTATTATCATGTTTAAGATTGGCACCCAGTTGATTGCCTTTTTTTTTTTGCCAGATGTCAATAAAATTAAAATTCAATGTATTTTGGATTGGTATTCATCTACCGATCTACAATACATTGTATTTTCTGACGCATCTCTTTATTTTTACTAAACTTGGAATTTGCTTCTTTTTGAAATTCAGCATTTGAGAAAATGCCTTCATGTCCATTTCTATCAGAAATTTGTGACCAATGAGGTGGAATTGGAATTTTTCAATTCCCCGTTTTACAGCAAGAATTCGTTTGACATACCAGAGAAAAGAAAGAGATGAGAATCAAGGATTTGAAATAAGCCACTTTTGAAGCAGGAAATCTCATATACTCAATTTTCATATTTATTACTATGATTGAAAAACGATAACCAATGAGTAAAACTTTTGGACAATGCGATTCTTGCAAAAGTGGATAAAAGAGAAATTTTTGTTTCTATAAAAGCAACATCTTAATTACGCAAAGATTTACGAACCCAATATTTACTATTATTTTTTATTGTACAAAAATAAAATGTTTGAGAGAGATGATAATATTAACAAAAAGCAAATCTGAAGTGGAAAAAGCCCATTGGACACTTTTCATTTGGGAAGCCACTGCAAATCTCACCATTGGATTGGATTGGATTGAAGAGGCCAACGTCGTCCATTTTGATTCAATCCAAATAGCACCAAATCAATAAATAAATGTCCACATCTAATCAACATAATATCCTACAACAATAATTCAATCAATTGTCTATCTGGAAAGAAATAAGTTCTTAAAATTGTAAATTGATGAAAATGAGTAATGGATAAATTCAAATAATAATTGTCGGATTACAAAATATGCAGTTAAAATAAGCCTCGGTTTCCCTCATTTTTTTTCCCAAATTTTAATGTTTGGCTTGAAAAAAAATGAAATTTTTTCGATTTATGTGTAATACTATTTCATGAAATTGTGTGGTCGAAAAAAAATGAAAGAGAATGAGGCCAACCTGATTCCTAATAAACCAAGATTTTACTCTTCCGGTAAAAATGTAAAAACTCAAAATACAAACAAAATAAAAAATTGTCAAACAGAGTGATAAAAAAAAAAAAAAATCACGAAAATAAACTTCAATCAGCACAAAAGAGACACACAGTAGTGTCCCATAGCCATGGCTGAGAGCAGTAGCACCACTGCCATCAGTAGCGACGAATCATCTTCACCGATAACCGACATAGCCCAGGATCACATTTTCTCGATTTTGCTCCTCCTACCCATTGAATCGATTCTTTGTTTTGCCATGACTTGCAGGAAATTGAAGTTTTTGGCATATTCTGATTCTCTATGGGAATCTGTATGCAGGAGGGATTGGGGTAGTTCCGCTATTGATGCACTGAAAGCATCCAGTTTCGTGCAGGGAATTCAATGGAAGAAGTTGTACCAGCAGGTTCATCAGTTAGACTCTGTTTGTTGCCATAAACTATTGTTTGAAACCCCAGATGGCGATGAGGTTCTTCCGAGTCCTAGAGCTTCTCATTCCCTCAATTTTGTGAATGGATGCCTTGTTCTGTTTGGTGGGGGATGTGAAGGAGGTCAGTCACTTTTTATTTATTTTATTTGTTATGCTTGTTGAATTATATATATAGTTTTCGATTCTCTTTCTCAGTATACTTTATGCTTGGCACCCTAATCTTTATTCTGATTATATTCATCTTTTCGATGGACCCTCGTGTTAATTGTTTTAAACATCATGCAGTTGGAAGTGTTTTATTGCCTGAATTGAAGTCATTTGCTAAATTTTATTTGATTGAAAAGGGATTGAGGTTTCGAATATGAAATTTCTGGTTGCTTCTGTGGACAAATGAAGGAAAAATGGACAGTATACGTTCCAGCTGCTAGTTCTTAGGCAAATACTCTTGGAATTGTGCAAACAATTACTAGTTCATGTCCCAAAGATAAAATAGCAAGAAGAACTTTATAGGATTTATGTATTTTAGAGATGTAAAGATGCCCTCAAGTGATTCATTCAGTTAGTATTTTAAGATTACTAGTACACTGTAAACATTGTGTTGGTGTCATCTACATCATGTCCAAGCTGGAGTTTTAGATGTAACATGAAGAGCTTCCAGTTGCCCCAGCAGTTCAAATTCCAGTCTTTGCTTTCCAGAGTTGATCCAACCAGCTACCTCATCCTGCACACCAAAAAGAAAAAGTAAAGAAGGGGACACTGAAAATGCCTGAAAATTTAAATAAACAATAACTTCAATGTAAGATAAGAAGCATGAGAGATGATGCGTAAAGTGTTTCTTGAGAAGGGAAAGAATATCCGTTGTCCAGGGAGCATAAACGATAGTAACATGTTAACTTTTGTCATGATTACTGACAGCTGATTTACTAACAGATTGTTATAACCAAGAAAGGAGCAATTCAATTGTAGTCTTCAAAAGTATGCTGGAAGAAAATTCTTCTTCTCTGATGTGCAGTAGTGGGATTTTTTCCCATGCTTCAATAAAGATTTTTCCTTATTTATGAAGAAAAAATTTGTCCTTTGATCTTGTCGATCCATGCTCGAAAATAGAGGTTCCATGCAAGCTTCCTCATTCTGTCCCGATCGACTTGATCATCATTTCCAACTATATATATATATATATATATATATTTTTATTTGTGTAGGAATTTCTAGGTGTGATGACAAATCAACAGATTAATAATCCATACTTGCATCAGTTGTGCACATTGTGTTTCCATTAAGTCAAGCTTGTGTTAATGTGTCTAAGTGTTAACCCATTGAAATGAGTAGTGGCTATGACAAGCACGTTTCTTTACCTCATGCCAATGTCTAAGTGAGGGCGTGCCTGTAATGGCTGCATCACAATCAAACAGAAGAGAGGCAATGGAGTTGTGTTGCGTGTGACAATCTGATGACAGTGCATGGGATGGGTAGATTGCCCTATGGGCTATCAGAGCTGCAAGCATGACATGCAGGCAGCATTCTTGCACATGATAGAGGGACTCAAGTTTCAGTGTGCATAGAGGCAAGTTGGAGGAAGGTGATGTGGAATCTTAGTTAGTGTGCAAAGTCAAGTAACGGTTGCACCTGATGACTCGAAACTCACCATGTTGTGGCGGTTGTGGGAATTGAGTAATAAAGCAGTTTCTGAGTGACATAGGGAGCTTTTGCAGGGACATGGCTAGTGGCCAATGCTAGAATTGGTTAGGACACCAGCTGGGGTGCCAACTTACACCCATTTTCTATACATAGTGTTAAGCTGCTGAGGCACTAAACAAGAGAAGTGTTGTGCTAGCTAAGTTTTCCCTGAGATTCATTTGTTTGAGAGATACAGTTGGTTGATTCCCATAATTGCCATGTTCTGTTCCTAGTGCCTTTGGTTGTGTGCCTTTGAATTCCTCAGTCCATCAGTGGGTGAAAATTTGCTATAGTCCTTACCCTGTGACAACAAGCATTTCATCTTGTTGGCACCCCGTCTTAGCTAGGTCCCTCCCTCCCGCAATTCAAATAAATGGCTTCACTATCCAGGGTTGCTTTAATTAATCTGCATATAATCATCACGCAAACAATAGACTTCATTTTAATTATTGTGAAGTCTAATAGTCCAGAACTGTGATAGCACCTCATATATTATATTTTCTGCTTTGGAAAAAGCATAAATAGGACTTGTACTTCTAGTGGAAGTGAAAAATATTAGCTACGAGGAAAGGGAGAAGGGTCCCTGAATATCCATTCCAACTAAAGGTGGTTTATTAGCTGGGTAAACATATGCTGTCTCAATTTAATTATCCAATGAATGTCTTTGTGCGTTAATTAATAATGATCATCAATAATCTTTTGGCTTTGATAAGTTCCATAAAAAATTGTATAGGTAAAAATTACAACAAATGAATTACATCCTCCACTGTCATCAAATGAACCATTGTCTATCACTTCTGATGATTATTTTAGTAAATGATTTCTCTTTCATGTAGTATCATTTGATATAAGTTTATCTGGCTCAAACTAACTTAATTTTCTTATTATTTTGGTATTGTCATTTTTTGTTCTTTTCCTCTAGGGAGGCATCTTGATGATACATGGATAGCATATATAGGTGATGACTTTAGGAGGACATTGAAGTGGCAAAAGACATACTCAGGCATTCCAAGCGGGCGGTTTGGGCACTCATGTGTCGTAATTGGCGATTCACTTATCCTATTTGGAGGGATCAATGACCACGGGATTCGCCAGAATGATACTTGGGTAGGACAAGTTATATTGAAAGAAACACTTGGGGTTACTTTGTCTTGGATTGGGGTAATTCCGCTATTGATGCACTGAAAGCATCAAGTTCCGTGCAGGGAATTCAATGGAAGAAGTTGTACCAGCAGGTTCATCAGTTAGACTCTGTTTGTTGCCATAAACTATTGTTTGAAACCCCAGATGGCGATGAGGTTCTTCCGAGTCCTAGAGCTTCTCATTCCCTCAATTTTGTGAATGGATGCCTTGTTCTGTTTGGTGGGGGATGTGAAGGAGGTCAGTCACTTTTTATTTATTTTATTTGTTATGCTTGTTGAATTATATATATAGTTTTCGATTCTCTTTCTCAGTATACTTTATGCTTGGCACCCTAATCTTTATTCTGATTATATTCATCTTTTCGATGGACCCTCGTGTTAATTGTTTTAAACATCATGCAGTTGGAAGTGTTTTATTGCCTGAATTGAAGTCATTTGCTAAATTTTATTTGATTGAAAAGGGATTGAGGTTTCGAATATGAAATTTCTGGTTGCTTCTGTGGACAAATGAAGGAAAAATGGACAGTATACGTTCCAGCTGCTAGTTCTTAGGCAAATACTCTTGGAATTGTGCAAACAATTACTAGTTCATGTCCCAAAGATAAAATAGCAAGAAGAACTTTATAGGATTTATGTATTTTAGAGATGTAAAGATGCCCTCAAGTGATTCATTCAGTTAGTATTTTAAGATTACTAGTACACTGTAAACATTGTGTTGGTGTCATCTACATCATGTCCAAGCTGGAGTTTTAGATGTAACACGAAGAGCTTCCAGTTGCCCCAGCAGTTCAAATTCCAGTCTTTGCTTTCCAGAGTTGATCCAACCAGCTACCTCATCCTGCACACCAAAAAGAAAAAGTAAAGAAGGGGACACTGAAAATGCCTGAAAATTTAAATAAACAATAACTTCAATGTAAGATAAGAAGCATGAGAGATGATGCGTAAAGTGTTTCTTGAGAAGGGAAAGAATATCCGTTGTCCAGGGAGCATAAACGATAGTAACATGTTAACTTTTGTCATGATTACTGACAGCTGATTTACTAACAGATTGTTATAACCAAGAAAGGAGCAATTCAATTGTAGTCTTCAAAAGTATGCTGGAAGAAAATTCTTCTTCTCTGATGTGCAGTAGTGGGATTTTTTCCCATGCTTCAATAAAGATTTTTCCTTATTTATGAAGAAAAAATTGGTCCTTTGATCTTGTCGATCCATGCTCGAAAATAGAGGTTCCATGCAAGCTTCCTCATTCTGTCCCGATCGACTTGATCATCATTTCCAACTATATATATATATATTTTTTTTATTTTTGTAGGAATTTCTAGGTGTGATGACAAATCAACAGATTAATAATCCATACTTGCATCAGTTGTGCACATTGTGTTTCCATTAAGTCAAGCTTGTGTTAATGTGTCTAAGTGTTAACCCATTGAAATGAGCAGTGGCTATGACAAGCACGTTTCTTTACCTCATGCCAATGTCTAAGTGAGGGTGTGCCTGTAATGGCTGCATCACAATCAAACAGAAGAGAGGCAATGGAGTTGTGTTGCGTGTGACAATCTGATGACAGTGCATGGGATGGGTAGATTGCCCTATAGGCTATCAGAGCTGCAAGCATGACATGCAGGCAGCATTCTTGCACATGATAGAGGGACTCAAGTTTCAGTGTGCATAGAGGCAAGTTGGAGGAAGGTGATGTGGACTCTTAGTTAGTGTGCAAAGTCAAGTAACGGTTGCACCTGATGACTCTAAACTCACCATGTTTTGGCGGTTGTGGGAATTGAGTAATAAAGCAGTTTCTGAGTGACATAGGACATGGCTAGTGGCCAATGCTAGAATTGGTTAGGACACCAGTTGGGGTGCCAACTTACACCTATTTTCTATACATAGTGTTAAGCTGCTGAGGCACTAAACAAGAGAAGTGTTGTGCTAGCTAAGTTTTCCCTGAGATTCATTTGTTTGAGAGATACAGTTGGGTGATTCCCATAATTGCCATGTTCTGTTCCTAGTGCCTTTGGTTGTGTGCCTTTGAATTCCTCAGTCCATCAGTGGGTGAAAATTTGCTATAGTCCTTACCCTGTGACAACAAGCATTTCATCTTGTTGGCACCCCGTCTTAGCTAGGTCCCTCCCTCCCGCAATTCAAATAAATGGCTTCACTATCCAGGGTTGCTTTAATTAATCTGCATATAATCATCACGCAAACAATAGACTTCATTTTAATTATTGTGAAGTCTAATAGTCCAGAACTGTGATAGCACCTCATATATTATATTTTCTGCTTTGGAAAAAGCATAAATAGGACTTGTACTTCTAGTGGAAGTGAAAAATATTAGCTACGAGGAAAGGGAGAAGGGTCCCTGAATATCCATTCCAACTAAAGGTGGTTTATTAGCTGGGTAAACATATGCTGTCTCAATTTAATTATCCAATGAATGTCTTTGTGCGTTAATTAATAATGATCATCAATAATCTTTTGGCTTTGATAAGTTCCATAAAAAATTGTATAGGTAAAAATTACAACAAATGAATTACATCCTCCACTGTCATCAAATGAACCATTGTCTATCACTTCTGATGATTATTTTAGTAAATGATTTCTCTTTCATGTAGTATCATTTGATATAAGTTTATCTGGCTCAAACTAACTTAATTTTCTTATTATTTTGGTATTGTCATTTTTTGTTCTTTTCCTCTAGGGAGGCATCTTGATGATACATGGATAGCATATATAGGTGATGACTTTAGGAGGACATTGAAGTGGCAAAAGACATACTCAGGCATTCCAAGCGGGCGGTTTGGGCACTCATGTGTCGTAATTGGCGATTCACTTATCCTATTTGGAGGGATCAATGACCACGGGATTCGCCAAAATGATACTTGGGTAGGACAAGTTATATTGAAAGAAACACTTGGGGTTACTTTGTCTTGGAGGCTACTTGATGTTGGTGCTGTTGCCCCTCCCCCGCGTGGAGCTCATGCCGGATGTTGCCTTGATAACAAGATGATGCTTATCCATGGAGGGATAGGGTTATCCGGACTTAGACTAGGCGACACTTGGATTCTAGATCTCTCAGAAAATCTTTGTTTTGGAACATGGCGAGAAATTTTGACTCATCCATGTCCCCCATCCCGCTCGGGGCACACATTAACTCATATTGGAGGAACACAAACAATTTTATTTGGAGGTAGGGGATCAGGATATGAAGTGCTTAATGATGTGTGGCTCTTGAGTGCATTCGAAGGCCATTGGAGATGGATGCAACAACTATTTGAACAACGTGACATACCCCAAGGGTTTACCCTCGCACGAGTAGGTCACTCGGCCAACCTTATATTAGGAAATCGACTACTTATTTATGGAGGCGAAGATTCATACAGGCACAGGAAAGATGACTTTTGGGTTTTAGACGTTAATTTGTTGCCTTCAATTAAATTGCAGCATGGTAATCTGAACTCAAAAGGATTATTAAGAAAAATGTGGAGACGACTTGGATCCATTGGCCAAAAACCTAACTGCAGATCCTTTCATCGAGCTTGTGTTGATCATTCAGGGCGTTACTTGTACGTCTTTGGTGGGATGGTAGATGGGTTACCTCAGCCTTCCGAATCGTCTGGTTTGAGGTTTGATGGAGGAATTTTCCTTGTGGAGCTTGTGCTGCAGTCTTAGAGAGGTGGTTTATTGAGGGTGTTGATTGGGTGACTGAATCAGTAGCTCTTTTGTCTTGCCTAAAATACCCTTGGACGAAGTATATTTTGAAGAGGGCAATCTTGATGGAGATATCAGTGACAAGAATGGAAGTATTGTCTAATATCATAAAAGATATTTCGGAACTATAAAACATGAAAAAATAAGAAGGGAAGGTGCTTGTCTCCACGTTCACCTATGCCCGTGAAAAGGCAGCATTCAATGAGCTAAAGTCGAACAAGTCCTTGAGCATTGGCGACCTGAAGATGTTGAAACTTACAGCCCAGACTTGGTGCTGCAAGTTCTGTAAATTGAAAAGCATCTTGTTATGGATTAAGATATGAACAACTCTAGGGTGGAAGTAATTGAATTCACTGGTAATTTTTCATCTCTGTTTGATGTAAATTAAGTTTTAAGATAGTTTCTGCCATTGTGGCTGCATGAATATAATGAAATCGAACCGTCTTCCCATTTACCTTCATCTTGTACTTGACATTGACCTTACATTTGGAAATTTCTACGCATTAACTTTTTCTGAAGGATTTGAGAGACGACGGATGCACAGTTTAAGTTACTTGTGTACTTCTACCTTTATAGTAAACCTAATTGACATGTTCAATATGCTAGATTGAGCAAAATTGATCAACATTAAAGACAAGTTTGAGTTAATTTGTTTAGTAGAGTTTTAGATGATCATCGCTCGATGTGGCAATGGTGCTATGCTACCCAATATATGAAAAATGCATTCGAACTTCGTTGGACAATGTGGCTATTGTCACATATACCCATAATTATCTAGACTCTAGATAAGGGGTCCATTTAATAGGATTTTTGAAAAGTAAAAAATTATTTTTGAGATTAAAAAGCTACTTTTGAATATGTCTGAATAATTTTCTAAAAGTATTATGTCTATCTAGAAGAATTTTTAGGGAAAATTGATTTAAGATAAATTTCTAAAAAAAACTCTTGTACAAGAAATAAAAACATAAGTCATCTCAAGCACACTTGAATAACTTCACTCATCTCATTGTATCGCGTCTAATATATTCATCCTGCCAAATCTGTTTAAACTAATAGGATGCTTTATGGCCACACTATCAGTTTTCGAGCTGGTGAAAAGATCCTTTCGAGCTTAAAGGTGACAAATGAAATACGTTCATAAAGCGAAAAATACAAGACTGATAGCATTGTTTGCCTAAGCTTAGAAAGTTGACTTATAAGTAAATAAATGAGTTAATACCCCCAAATAGTCACTGAAAATTGCCAAAAAATTTCAGGAGGTCATCAAACTTCAAAATTTTTCTAAATAGACACTGAAATTTGCAAAAAGTTTCCAGAAAGTCATTGAACTTCAAAACTTCTCTAAATAATTATTGAACTTTACAAAAAGTTCTTAGAAAATCACTAAATCAGTGATGTATGGAGTCTCAATTTGCAAAATTGAGTGACCTCTTAGGAACTTTTTGAAAAGTTCAATGATTATTTAGGAAAGTTTTGAAGTTTATTGACTTCTTAGGAACTTTTTGTAAAGTTCAGTGACTATTTAGGAAAGTTTTAAAGTTCGGTGATCTCTTGGAAACTTTTTGACAAAGTTCAATGACTATTTAAAGAATTAACCCGTAAATAAATAAGATCTTTAATTTGTCCTCTTGTTTGTACAAGAAAACAGTTACATAAATCTCTCTCTATTGCCTTCTTGCAGACCGATCTGAATCATTCCAATACAAAAAGAAATCATCATGACTTCCAATATTGCAATATTAAATAATATAAAAAATGAAATTACACAACAATCCTATCTATCATCTGTATTAGTACACAAGAAAATAAAAAAATAAAAAATGAAAAAATTGCTCATAAATTCAGTTTTGTTCTCCACATATCTCCGACGACCTTTCTTGGTGCCGGGTCATTGGGTCCTTTATCTCGTTGCCCTGATGTAAAATACAACATTCCGTTCCAAAATCCAACGAGAGTGGTTTTCACCCGATATGGCAGTTTTCCAATCACTGACCATTTCTGCCGGTTTAAGAAGAGAAAAATTAGACAAGAGACATGAAATAAATGATGCACATTGGTCAGGGTAACACAACCAACACTTTAATCATACCGTGGAGCCAATTTTGAAAAATTATCCGACTTACCATACGATTTTTAGGAGTTCCTACACGAAATCTGAAAGGTGTGTAAATGGCATGTGTAATAAGCCATAACTTAAGTAAACTGAACGACTTACTGGCAAAAGCAAACCGCGTAAACAATGGTAGCCAACAAAAATTCAAGGCTTCTATTCCGCTAAGCTAAAAAGTTACTTATACGTTCCCTTTTATTATTTGATAAAACATTTCCAACCAAACATTCATAACTACAACCCATTTATTATCCACAAATTTCGTGGGATCCAAAACTATTCCTCCTAAAAAGTTACTAATAAGCTTACCTGAACAAGGGCAAGGCTTGCCATGCAGTAATAGCATTGTTACGTTCCACAGGGAAATTACTATTCACAATAGATAAGTGATTCTTTAGAATTTTTTTCTGGCATATATTTCATTAAGCTAACAACTATGGTGGAATATAGGGAGTTGACATCAATGAGTGAGACAAAGATAAAAAGTCAGTTGCTGTTCACTAATTGGATGCTAACGGGGTTGAGTTCTACTATGCTATCCTGGACAGTGAACCCAAGTTGCACAAGGACACCTCTTCCACAAAATCAAGAGACAAGATACTGGTACAATGCTGTAATTCACAATTTTAATCTTAGTTCCATAGCCTCCAGGAGGATAATAGAGCCCCTGAGACTGTTATCTAGGCGAGAAAGGAACAAAATATTCTATCTAACAGGGAACTTTCTGTTTCTGGAACAATAAGACCTATTAGTGCATCAAATGGTTATGATGCCCAAGTGTATCTGCACAAACTAGAGGTTCCTCCAGTGAAAATAATACAAGAAAATCAGAGAGGTAACCAAGAAACATATTAAGGAGAACAATTTTTATTTGGAGATTGAAAACTAAGTAAACGGATGTAAAACAAGCGAAGGACATCAATCCCAATCTTTAGAATTTTTTTCTGGCATATATTTCATTAAGCTAACAACTATGGTGGAATATAGGGAGTTGACATCAATGAGTGAGACAAAGATAAAAAGTCAGTTGCTGTTCACTAATTGGATGCTAACGGGGTTGAGTTCTACTATGCTATCCTGGACAGTGAACCCAAGTTGCACTAGGACACCTCTTCCACAAAATCAAGAGACAAGATACTGGTACAATGCTGTAATTCACAAGTTTAATCTTAGTTCCATAACCTCGAGGAGGATAATAGAACCCCTAGAACCCCTGAGACTGTTATCTAGGCGAGAAAGGAACAAAATATTCTATCTAACAGGGAACTTTCTGTTTCTGGAACAATAAGACCTATTAGTGCATCAAATGGTTATGATGCCCAAGTGTATCTGCACAAACTAGAGGTTCCTCCAGTGAAAATAATACAAGAAAATCAGAGAGGTAACCAAGAAACATATTAAGGAGAACAATTTTTATTTGGAGATTGAAAACTAAGTAAACGGATGTAAAACAAGCGAAGGACATCAATCCCAATCATAACAAGTACCATAAAATATTAGTTGTTTCGGATTTTTTTGAAGATAAGAAGACAATTACCTCGGTATCTAATTGGAACTGGAAAATTTCTCCAACAAGTGTCATCTTTTTTGTTAAAGGATGCTTCTCTGTGGTGCCTCCAACAATAACAATAGAATTGTTAACAATAGCCCAGGCAAACTCAATGTGAGAATCAGGCTTTGGCATATGAGGCAGCACTTTCCATTTCATATCATCATCTAGCATGTAAACATCATCATATACAACCTGCAGACATAAGATGAAATCATGAGGAATCTCAAAACGTTTCAACAAACAATGAAAAAGAAAGGTGGGGGGGAGGAATTAATTTACTGCGGCATATTTATTTAATTTTACCACTTCTTTGTTTTTTGGGGGGTGGGGGTGGGGAATGTAAATCCCTCCCATCCTCTGTTGGCAACACTATCTTATAAAGCTTATCAAGTTTAGATGAAACAAAATGCTATCAAAGAGTATATAACAAACATAATGACAGTACATAGCAGACCTTATCTGTCTCTCGGGAAGTAAGAAGATAAATAGGAAATCTATCATAGCATCAGTATTCATAAATCTTTAACCTGTTCAATCAACTATCTACATTTCTGTTAAAAAGCATATAAGTTATAACCTCATTTCTACGGGAGCACTTAAAAATGGGAGATCCTGGTTTAGCCATGAAATCGCCCTCTTGACCGCCAATAACATACAAACGATCATTAGCCACAACACAAGCCCTACATAAAAAAAATTAAGAGCAGGAAACATTAGATATTGTGCAAGCCAAGAAAAACAAGCTGAGCTATATTTATTTCAAGCTAAGCCCAAGTGTTTCCTGGAAAAAAGCACAGATAAATGAATTCTTCTCATTGAAGAATTTTTTTTGTCCTCTGGGACATCAACATTCTAGAAGTTTCAGACAAAACCCTCCTCATGGATATATTCAAGTTTAGTAGTTCAAAACTAATCCATGCGTTCTGATGGATTTTTCTCATTCACATACTCGATCATACCCTATAGGTTGATAAGATGAAAGTATCAGAAATAGAACTCACTGATCTAGGACTAAGCTTAGAAACTCTAATGATACCTAGAATACACATAGCCTGTTACTAGTTCCATTAATGAGTCTCAGCAGAGTATACAATGAACAAATCTCGAATACAAAACTTTTTCCTTTCTTCTCACTTCAGAACCATGAGTTATTGGGGGACATCTAAATTTTAGTGGATTTTAATGAAATCCATTAAAACTTCAACTGGGGACACCTAGAGTTAATGGTTTTTAATAGAATCCATTAAAATCTCAATTTTGCAAACCTGAATTTACAAGGACTTCTAAACTCCATTAAAATCCCCCTTAACGACACCCTTTCCTTTTGCAATTTAATCACTTTAAAGAAAGAATGGAAGGAAAACCTGTGCGGTCCTCCACGGGGTATGGGGATCTCTGTTCTCCAATCTTTTTCTAAAGCTTGGCCATCTTTCACAGCAATACTCCAGTGCTCTAATCCAGGTGTATGGCGGTTCTCTGTGCTGCCACCCATCACATGGAGTCTGCCTCGCCAAAGCTGGGTTGCAGGCGCATATCTGAAATAACAATGTTCATAAATTTCACTAAAATGGAACTGCTATCTAACTGAAATTCTATTTAATATCAAAATATACAGTGAACATGAATTGGGCCACAGTAAAATTCTCAGAGAGTTTCAACAAGGAATATTTATCAGCTGATAATGATATTGTTCCTCAACTGAGTCTTGGGATATCAAAATCATCTGAGCATTTTAAGAACCAAATACAAGATAAAATATTTATATGGCAGAGGATTGAGCACTATATTATAAGATTTTATCAGAATTAGCAACAGTAGCATGGGATTGAAATGGGAAATGAAGTTTAATTGCTCCAGTTGATAAAATGCTCCTCTATCTTGTAAAGGCTATCCAGAATTCTCATGTACCAGGGATTTATCATGTGGGAAACAATATTCAGTCCTTCCAACTCAAATTATATCAAACAGAGAGTGGATAACATGCATCAGGGCATTTGTAAGAACTCAGAAGATGTTCTGAAAAGCTATCAAAATTTCAAGTTGCCCCTCCTCCCAAGTTAATATTCCTTAGTTAATGAGAGAAACAGAAAAACTTCTGCACAAATTTGGCACGGCACAAAATTTTCTAGCTAAAGGTTCGGATGAATCAATCAAGTGATAGCTTGCGAATCATGCCTGCATTTATTATAGATGATCTTAAAATACATGAATATTGGAAATTTAGTACTACACTCAATTTTATGAAAATCACCCTAACAAGAACTATTAAAGTGTGTCCATCAGGAACCAGTCTTAGATAGGGAAAGACAAGAATGTTTTGATGACAATATCTAAATTATATACAGTTGGCCCAATCTAAAGCTTAATCTTTTACATCAAGTGGTTCAACAGAACAAATATTCACTTCATAGCAATCAGTAAGAAAGAATGCTAGAACCTAATGATTGAGGATAGCATTATTTATTCAAATATATTGGTATTAAGTAATCAAATAACTATCACTTTCAGAGGAGAATAATAAATGCCAGTTCTTCCTAGAAATTGCCCGATCACAGTCATAATGAATTATCATTAGAAAAACATGGGAAAAAGAAGAAGTGTTTTATAACTGTATAATTAAGAGAAACCAGCGTGTAGAAGCACATATGGAATTCCTACCTTGGAACGGGCAGAGAAGGAAAGTCCTGCCATTGCTTTGTCGATGTGTCCAATACGAATGTGCTTGCAGTAGGTCCTCTACATTGAGGACCATATTGTCCTGTAACTACGTAAATATATCTCCCATCTGTCACCATACCTAAATGTGAATGCGCCATTTCTTTTGGCATATCAAACCTTTCTCCCCATGTGTTATCCGTGAAATTGTAAATATCAACATGAGAATGAACCTTTAAGAAAAAAAAAATAAAACATCATCACGCCTATAAATTGAGATTGATTTTATTCAAAATTGGAAGTAATATTAAAATGGATTTAAGAAACATATGTGTAAGTCCTTATTGCCTTGAACCCTCGACAGTTACAGGATTATATCAAGCACAAAACTTATATCAAGCACAAAACTTTGGCAGAGTGAAGAAATTATTACATTACATAAATATCCCAGGACTCATGCATCACTGAAATGACAAGCAGAGTCACTATATCATGAAAAACAGGTAGTCTCTGTCAAGAGTTTAGCTTAATTTCCATGGGTATATCAAATCTCAAATACCTTAACTCAAGTTGTGAAACAAGAGGTACAATTGTAAATATGAGAAATCAGTTCCTGCCTGTTTCCAAAAACAGTTTATCCATTTTCCATTTCTAATTCTTCATACGCTTCAAATTTGCAACAGGCAGTTCCAATACTTGTTAGAGGAGAGATTTTGCTATAAGGATATTTAATTCTTGTCAAAGTTATAGTTCAGGAAAATGGAAAATCTAACATAAGCAGCAGCATGTTTCATCAATCAACCATTCATAAGATCAGTGTGCATGTTAGAATCCTCACATAATCAATGGTTCCATATCCAGCAAATACATAAAGAAGATTCTTGATTTGAATCGCTGCACCATCAAGACGAGGCACTGGTGCTGTTGACATTTTTTCCCATTTTAACTCTGGGCCAGGCAAATCAGCAAAAGTTGCCGATAAGACCCTCTCAGGAACCACTCCTTTTTTATCTTGCTTAGATTTCTCCTGTTAGAAAGAGAATTGGCACCATAAATTCAAGTTCACATCAGGAACAGAGGAACAACTCAGATGAAGTATTTACTCATGTATATAGACGTGCTCACACCCCCTAAACTTGATAGTAATAAGATTAATAGATAGATACAAGGAAATAACAATCTAAAAATAAAATAAAATAATAATAAATTAAGATCCAATATCTAATGTCTTTAAGAACTCACAGTATCCACAAGAAACTCTAATTTCGTGTTTACACATTAAAATTTTAAACTGGGAACAACATTCTTACGACTTCAATATGCTACCTATGGATCCTCACATTAAAATCAAATTTGTATGCAACTAATAAAGTCAAACAAATATAAATCCACAGACAGAAATTAAACAATTAAAACACATAATCGACTCTTCCAAAATTACAGTTATCCAAATGCTAGAATTTCAAGAATTGAGATCACATTCCACTAAGCACGAAGTAATTAATTAACTCACCTTAATTAGGGAGGAAATAGTGTTATTGTTGGGAGAAACAACGTTCGGAACGATAAAAGCGTGAGAATTTTGAAAAGCCCAATTGGATGCTACTGATTGGGATGCGGAGGAAGAGGAAGCCCAGAGAAGATCTACAATAAAAAAGGCTCCCAAAATGGCAACCAATATAAACACAAATTTGGTAGTTTTGTGCTTCGCCCTCGCCATCTCTCACTCCATTTATTACCTCTCAAAATTCAGCTGCAATTACACCACATTACCGTGTGTGTCTGTGTGTGTGATAGAGATCAATTATAGCGATTTACAGTGCATAATTGAGTAGAAATACAGATATAAATACACGCAACCCACCGGCCTAAATTCCGCGGGATTTTTTTATATTTTCTTATTCATGTATGGGGCACGAAAAGTCGCATTTTTATATCTTGAAAAGTGTATGTCTGGTTCAAGGGAAATCGCATTTTGTCGTGCTTAAGGGTTAAGTATATCGTGTTTATGAATCGATCTGATAGAACAAGTGGTGGATAAGAAAAAGAAAATTTCCTTTAATCCACTTCATATGTTGAAACCCGATATAGCAACCATTTCGTTTTTAGAAATATACAAAATTTGAGAGTTTACAATGAAATTTGGATGTTCATCTACTTCGCGAAGGTATGTTTAGTGCGATTTGCTTTACGCCATATATATAAATAAATTAATCCCTTAAATTTACATATTTCTAAAAGTAACTTTTAACTTACTATCAAAATAATTAACCGACTCATTTTCAACTTTGATAAATGAAAGTGATTTATTCTAAAACTTGCTCATTTATAACTTTTCAAGTTAGCCAACACATGAGTAAGAACCAGAAGGATAAAGGCACAGCTTTTGCAGAATCTGCCTTTTTTGTCTTTCCCAGACAAGGCTGAAGCAGAACACAAACTTGTATACTTGCTCATTTCTACAATACAAACCATTAACATTACAAATTCTTTCATAATCTAACAAATAAACAACTTTGATTAAAAACTACATTAGAATCTCCACGATAATTAGTTTTCAATAATGAAAAGAACAAACTTTTACAATGCACAAACATGGAGACAAGTCGAACACGACAAGCTATTACACTGGTATAACATCCATCTTAGATGAATCTTCGCACCTCAGAACAATTCCATCGAGACTAGTGGGAAATATACATTTAGTCCACTGGCATCCCGTTGTGAATGGCTCTGCAGGAGGAACTATCATAAGCACGTTTTCGTTTCTCTGAACAACTCCCATTACGCTAACTGTGCTTCCTTCTTTGATATACCTATCATACCAAAAATCAAATTCAGAAAGTCAGAACAAATCTCCAATCTAATTATGCAGGCAGATTTGCAGAAAGTTCAGGTTTATAATCAACCTATGGGCCAGCACTTGTTGGCACCTATTTAATTTATAAGAAGCTATTCCTGACTCCTTAATGAGGAGTGAATCAAGATTAAGACTACCAATCGAGATAATAAATGTGTGCCAGCGGAAACATTGTTTTAGACAAAAATGCTCCTTCCCTTTACGACAACAAAGAGTGAGCCACAAGAAGTCCTGCATATTGCCAAATAGCAGCATGCCGCAACAGAAAAGACAGAGACAGCTTCGAACTTTCTTGGAGACCAAGAAAATCCCTTCTTGCAGGTGCAAGGGATAATCTGACGCTTCCAGGTGAATGAATCGTGTTGCCATATAAATTATCAGCTTTTTCCTTGAACTGGGACGGGGTTCCCTTCTCCATTGTGAGTGACTTCCCCGGCCAAAGGCCAGTAGACAGCTTGTGTTGTAGATGGCCTGTCTCATTCATTCTTATGCATATCCATTAGTTAGAGGAGATTAGAGCCGCTTCTTCTTTCCAAATTGACGTGCTATTTATCTATCAGCGGTGCCACAATTTTTACCTGGAGTGGCTTTTTGCAGCTTACAGGGCATGCTTGAATTGGCTTCTTGAAGAGTTTGACCAGCGAGAATTCAACCATCCAAGTCTCAAAGTGCAGGCAACATGGGTCTTGACTCCGAATCCATGGAAGGGACTCAAAAATATTTCACAATCGGTCAAATCTATTTTTATCCACTTTTTTTATAGCACTCATAAATACTACTCACTTATCCAGTGCCTATTTCTATCTAATGCTTGTGTGGGAGATATTTTTAGATAACTGATTGAAAAGTGATTTGTTTGGAGATCATGTGAATAAAAAAAAAAAAAAAAAAGAAAGGAAAAGTAATGGGGAAAACATAAAAAATGATTTTTTATGGAGAATGTGGTTGAAATGAGAGTGGGGAAAAGTGATTTTAAAAAATCACACCCACATAGACCTATTTTTAAATTAAACCGTTTATAAACACTTCCGGTGACAACTTATAGAAAAGCTCAAATGTGTTTGGCAAAGAAAGCACTTAAAAGTCACTTTTAAGCTTAGCCATACATGCTTTAACATGTAAAAGCGGGGAGGGGCAAATAAAAACCTACCCTTCCTTCAATTGCATCATACGGTCATCACTAGAAAGATTCCGCTCTCCCAACCACCGGACAAATTCTGGTGACAACTCTTTATTTAGCGGATCGACTTCAATGACAACGGATTCGTCGACATATGGAGTCACCCGAGCACCATAGCCAGTTTTAACCAATGCTCTTAGTCCTGACTGAAAATCAGATATGTAGAAGTCGACAGCATGTCTCTGCATGGAGTATTAGGGAGAAAAAAAAAAAAAAAACAAAAGAAGCACTCTTGTCAAGCACCATAAAATGACAGCATTTTAAAATAATTCACAAATCCCGGAAAGATTTGCTCTTACCTCAAGTGTAGAACATATGATAAAGATTAAAGGGGTAACGAAAATTACAGAGATTAGCAATTTTGTTATTCACTTTTGCATATTCCCTTATCTTTTTTACTCCCCTTTTAATATTTTTTTAGAAGGATTACTGATAATATAATTGCGAATCTTTCTTGCATATGGAAAATTCTGAACTGAAGCAAAATGCAGGTTCTTAAAGAATACTTTGTTTTCAGCAACTTTTTAAAAAATCAGTGTTTCGCCGACAACAATTTTAAAATGGATGCACGAGTAATAAAATTTTGTACTCACTTCTGATGATCTAAGTCCCCAGGTAAAACAACGGTGTGTAGGATTTGCAGCCTTAGAATCCCATCCTCGATATTCATATAAACTGGTAGACGTGTAGACACATCTAGAAACCCTTTGGAACGATGATTCAAGGGGCACATTTCCACAAGTCACCACCTTCCACAATACAACCAATCATCAGATAAGAAAATTTGAGTATATGAGAATATAAAATGCAAAATTTACTGCAACAAAACTTGCAAAGCACACACCAGCTATACAGTAATGCAGCAAGTTCAAAATTCATCTAGATTAATTTGCCACCAGTTACTGAAATGTTCCATCCCTATATAATATACAATAAACACCTCGCAAATATACATTTTTAAGTAACTTAGCTGAAGCGGATCTTTTCCTCGGGCTGACTTTCTAAATCACAATGTTCTCTCATCCCAAAATTTTTTTTTTTAAGAAAAAAATACACAGTGAGAAAGAAAGGGTAAATATCAAATAATCCCCGGTAACTTATGAGGAAATAGGCTATTAACTCCCTTATAATTTACAGATTCCATCCGGTTAGTCAAGTTATCCAGCTAACAGGCTAAATTTTGACGTAAAATGATACAAGCACCCCTCTACATGCAAACCTTTTGCCATAGGGTAATCAGCAACTTCATGAAACCTCATGGGGTTAACATGCCTTCTAACAACTAAAAGGAAGTAGAATAACAATAACAAAAATCTGAGGGAAAAAAGACCATGCCTTACTGGCTGAGGTGCCGTATTTCACAAGATTACATGACCATATAGATTTAATACACTGCTTCCAAGAGCAAGTTATAGATAGAAGTTTTGAAAAGTTCAAAAACTCTTCTTCTTTAACAGGTGAACGTTCTCGTTAATGGACACGTGTAACAAATCAGTCAACCACAACATCAGCATCCGACAACTACAGTATTCAAGTTTTGAGGATTATAGTTAGGAATTAAAACCATTTTACTGGACAAAAATCAATAAAATATATGGCACCACATATTCTAAAAAGTACATACCCCGGAGACCTTGACGTATTGCCCATTTTTGGCAGTTCTCAATTCAGCATCTGGATAACGGGAAATGTATCCAAGGATAGCTTTTCTTCCCCAACAAGAATTCCATACAAATACGGCAACAACAATGCAGAACAGAATTACAACCACAATGAGGAGAATAGGATTGTGCACAGCCCCAATAATAAATCCCCCAGCGATGAATCCCATTAAGAAAAGTAAAATAATTGCCCACAATATAGGTTTCGGGATGTTCCTTTTGAAGGAATAGTCATCATCTTGACCAAGAGTCGTCACAGCCTGATTGTTTGCAACTGAGGAACCATGTACTTTGACTGACCCCGTTGAGTCTAAAGGACCAGAAACCTTTTTTTGGGCCCCAAATGAGTTCAGTGGACCAGATGTAATGGGTCCAGATGTGATGAGACCTGTTGCAGGAAGATTTGGAGGTTGAGGACCTGAGTTTTGGCGGGCATTAGGTGTCACTCCCCCAGATTGAGGTCCAGATGACTTTTTAATAGGTTCTCCATGTTTATTAAGTGGCCCAGAATTTGATTTCTTCATTGATGTTGAACCGGTTACCCCCATGGAAGGTACAGGACCCGAGGTAGAATAGCTGGGCCTGGCTGCAGCATTGGAGTTAATAGGTCCAGAATGTGAAGCAGCTCCGGCGAAAGATCCCGTCCTCGATGAAGCACTGGATATAGGTCCTGACTTCCTAGACTTTGAGCCATCAACAGGAATATCAAACATCTTTCCGAGCTCACCCGACTTCTTGATGTCCCCACCGGTGTAGGGCATGGCCACTGAGCTCATTGTCGGCGTTCTTTCTTTTGGCTGCTCCGGTCGGCCCGATACATAAAGTCCATTGCTGAGCTGATGAGATGGGAATCGAGAACCCATTGGGTTTTTATAAATCAATTGTAGAAGCACACGCAATAGATGCTATTTCTGTTATATCGTCGAATTACTATGCCTCTAAGAGCAAAACAAATACTGTAATTAAAAATGCGTTCGATAATGCCAAAAAATAAATTCAAATCTCTTGTAATAATATCTAGAACAGGAAAAAGCATAGCTAACTATCGACAGAGAAAAACGCGAGCAGTGCTGTATTACTAAGTGGATTAACAAGCTGAATTCATTCGCATTACAGATAAAGGTTGGACCAAAGAATTATATGAAGTTACCATTATATGTATGGAAAAATTTTAACAACCTTCAAACGAATTGAATAAACCGAGAAGAAAGAACAAACTAAGCACTGATGATCTTTTGAAAGGATTCACTTCAAAACCACGGAGCATATTCTAGGTTATACTTATGTGCCAACCAAACTAGATGAAACTAAAAATCATTTCCTTGACCCTAAAATATCAAATTTGAAATGCCACAATGAGCCAAAACAAGGTCAATAACAAAAGAATTTTTATCAAAGCATTTCAAAAGATCAATTTTTTAACACCAATTATCACCCAAAAAAGGCCAAGATAACAGAGATGGAATGCAAAAGGAATTGATTTACTGAGTGTGCGTGCGTGAGAGAGAGAGAGAGAGAGAGAGAGAGAGAGAGAGAGAGAGAGAGAGAGAGAGAGAGAGAGAGAGAGAGAGAGAGAGAGAGAGAGAGAGAGAGAGAGAGAGAGAGAGAGAGAGAGAGAGAGAGAGAGAGAGAGAGAGAGAGAGAGAGAGAGAGATTGTATGAGTGCGAGGGGAATGTGGGGCTAATCGAAACATATGAAGACACAAATTACAAACACCATTAACATACAAAATTCCTAAATACACGAAGTCATATTGAAGGAATCTGGATTTACTGAAAAACAGGGGAGAGAGATACAACGGAAGATCACTGATTACGAAGTAGTATCAACAACACTTCCCTCTGTATTGTGATATCATTACAAATAGTTGAAAGAAAAGTTCTAGAACGAAGTCCTTTCAGACAGGTAGATAAAAACTGCCTCCTACGACTTCATGTATACCAAGAATGTTCCAAAAACTGATGATATATCAATAAATACAAGTAATTAACTATGTGAGCTGCACATGGGCTGTTCCTCAATAACCAGGGAAAAACAACAGAATTTAATACGAACATATTCATTTTCTCTGACAACTCATTAAGGAAAAAACCAGAAGACTTTTCCCAAAAAATAAGGAATAAAAGTAAATATGAAATACACTTATAAAGCACAATTTAACTGCAAAAATGCCTAAAAGAGTACAAATTCGCTAATTTTCAGAAATCACAAATCTTTGAACAAGAATTTATCTCAGACTCTATTGTTTTTCAACACTGGAAATCAAGAAATTTGAACAATGATTTCAGTTTCTTTTGATGGAATCGGAACGTCAATCTTTAAACAGATACCCACTTTGTCTAACTTTACTAAACAAGCGCCTAAAAAGAACAAAATCCAAAAACTAATTATCAACGAACAAAAGGAAAATTAAAAAAGGGGTTATCCATTTCACCATTTCTAGCACAAAAAAGGGTGAACATTAAAAAACAGCCATTTGGGAGTAGCCCTTACATTATAGCAGGACATAAACAGAATGTAAAGGGCAAAAGGGGCAGAATAAAAAGAAAAGATGTAAAAAAGGGCAGCATAAGAAGAAAAGAGTTAAAAACTGAAGGTTTGTTTCTTGAACATACATGTGTAGTGCAGTAGCAGTACCTGAAGTTGAAATCTGAAAGAGATTTGGGAACATGTTCATATTAATATATATGGTAGCAGTGTAAGTATATGTGTGTATTACAAGAAGGGTCGTTGTTAAACAAGATTTTGGTGTGATCCCATCACTATATTTCTACCGCTTTGTTCTACTCTCTCTCTAAAACATTTTGGTTTCTCTCTCTAAATTCTTGGCCAGAGAGCCTTGAGGGAGCCGCAATGACTGGTGGATTGTCTGGTCTGGCAATAAAACCTCTCCCAATTAAAATTGCAACAGAAAATTAATTATAAATAAATAAATAAATTACTTTTCTGCGTGCGAGTAATAATGATATCAACTTACAATTTTTAAATGAAAAGGTGAAAAACCCACCTCCACTCTTTGTCTCTTTACTGTGGATAGAAATATTTTTTCTTGTAATTTAGTCCTGAAACTTTTTTCCAATATAAATTTGACCACAATTGATTTTGGCATTTTCTCAAAATATAAATATATGAATGTCGTAACTATTTACGTTTGTATGTTAGCATGTTTCTAAGTTAAATGAACTTGTTTATTCGAGCCCAGATAAATTGTTAGATTCTTCACGTTTTTACGAACTCCTAATTTAATGTTGTTTGTTGCCGACGATACTAGTTGAATAAAATTGAGAAGATTGTTTCGGATGCTTCTAACAAGAAAATGTCTGCGCTATAAGAAAATATTTTCGATGGATCAAAACTCGAGACATTTGAATTGGGCTTCCTTTTGGTTGGGAGTGATAACTTTTTATAAATAAATTTACGGGTAAAATTCTCGTTTGTTATTTTGTCAATATGAGTTATTGCTTTTTCTAATTTTTTAGCTGCAAAAATAAGAATCAATCTTGTGAAAATGTAAACGCAACTCAATAGTCCTCTAGAGATGGATTGACCTTGTAGATAAAATGCTGTTATTTGCTCTATCTTTCATGAGTGTTGATTGAGGTACAGAAGGAAGAAGCCCTCCAGAATACACACAAACATGTGGGGCCCGATTTTTTTTTGCAATATTTAATTTACATGGATCCCACTTTTCATGTGAGTATCTATATAAGTTTTGTACAAACATTTTCTGTACAAATGATTTTTTCCATCTTTCATTGAGTAAAATTTATAGTCCGTTTGAACTCCTTTTTCTTTTCTTTTTTTTTTTTTTATTTTTCACAAAATTCATTTTGAAATAGTATTTTGATTGATAATGTGTGATTAAAAAATAATTTTTTTTTGGGTTTTGCTTGTAATATTATTTATTGAAAAATATGTGACTGAAAATAAGATAGAGAAAAATGTATTTTGAAAATAATGGAGACCAAACAACTTAAAAGTTACTATGAGGTGGTCGTGATGGGCAAGTTGTTCAAATTTGTGAAAAATGAGTTACTTTGAAATGGTTGTGGATCGGAATGTAAATTTTGACTCGTGGCTCAATTTGCTAGCTACGCCTGCTGCTTTAACTAGGGCTTGGTCGGAACCACGAGCAGGGTTTGCTTGGACTTTTCCTGGATCAAGCCTAGCAGCCTTAACTGACAGCTATATTGTTGCCATTACCTGGCTAGCCTGTTAAGGCAAATTAAAAAAAAATATATCAAGCTGGCTCGTTAAAGCTAGAGTTGAAAGCTCGGGTCAAGTTTTGATTTTTTGGTTGAGTAAAAGCTCAACCGGACTTGGCTTGGGCCAAAAATGTCTAATGAGTTTTGCTCGAATCGAGCTCGAGCTTCGAGTTTTGGCTAATGGGCCGACTTAGCTCGACTCTTTAACATTCCTAGTTGTGCGTGGTGAAGTGTTATTTTGGGGTGGGCATGCTCGACTCATCACAAACTTATAATTTACTATTCACTCATGTGAATAATGGAATAGGGCGTTGAATTATATTGTGACGCAAGAACAATGCTATGGGTACAGAATTTTTTAACAGAAAAATCCTACAAACAACACATGGTGCGATATTATTGAAAGATGAAAAAAAGAAAAGAAAAAAATAGTCAATTATATTTTGCCACATCAGTGTCTGTACAAGTTCTGTTAACATATTTTCCTGTACTCGTGACTTTATTGGTGACGCAAAATCTATTATTACATGTTAAGTGATTAAAATGTGTTGATTATGTTAATTATACATTAAATTATGGTAGTACTTTGAACTCTATATTAAGAATATTGCATTCACTACATTTGACATTTACCAATGCTAATAATACAGATTAGAAAATGTGTTATTTGGCTCTAGCAATGAAAATGCAACATCTTGTCGTATGGTATATAGCTTCATGTATTTATAAAGTAAATCTATTTAACATTTGACTTTATCGTATATGATACAAATTCTTATGTTTTACAAAATATTATTATTGATCGTTTCACATGTCATTTTATAGTAAGTTGATGATCATACACGGATCAATCCTTGTATGTAAAATAACTAAGCACGAGATCATCATTAAAAATGAGATAAATTGATGATAAAATTCAGCAATGGGTGAAATAATTCATATTAAATTTTTGCAACATTTGTTGTCAATGCTTTAATTTTCTTAAATTTTTGTGTTATAAAAAAATTATTCGGTCACTACTCACTCATAATGAGTATAAAAATTAAATGTTGGATTAAATGAAGCACACAAAGATATAAAAATGCAACTTACATGCAAGATCTTGAATTCAATTTGAAAGAATAATATTAATCGAGAATAATAATTAAATCATGCAAAAGACCAAATTTTAAAGTTATTTATAGTAAAATATATTCTTGCGATTTGTTAAAATGCTTTCTATGTCAATGATTTGATATTATTGTTAGAATCTTGTAAGTGACGTTAATGTAAAATTTTACGAGTTACAAATTATGAAAATGAGTTCAACTCTCAAGTGGCTTGCCACTAATTTTTTTTATTAAAATATTTTATTACTTATCACAAATTAATCGTATATAGGTATCGTCTATATTATACTCACAATGTGTAGTCCATATGCATTTCTATTAATCAACTCATAAGTCGGGTTTTCTTTTCTTTTCTTTCTTTTTTGTTGATCTATGAATGCATAGAACGTTATCATGGTACGTATTATTGTTACCTATACCACAAAACACGGAATTACTTTTTTACAAACTCTATATTTAGAATATTGCATGTACAATCCAGCCTTTACCAATGCTAATAATATAAACATACAAGATGTATTATTTGGCAACTCTAGCAGTGAAACTATATTTATTAGATGCAACGTCTCTCATAAATGTGTATTTTCTACATGTTCGCATACTTGAAAGGACGATATAAAGTGATACATATTGCGCATCTTTGAAGTTTGAAACACGCTACGTGTATAAACTTTATTAACTAAAATCAACTTAATATTTAACTTTATTATATAAGAAAAGAAAATCTCATTTTTCACAAAATATTATTGTTGATCATTGTATGTGTTACTTTACAGTTGATCAATGATCTCTCGAGGATCAATCCTCATGTGTAAAAATTCAACTTTTACTCAAACTTGTTTTTAACCTTAGTTCATAGTACGTTCTTTTGATTTTTCGAATTTTTAATATGAAAACACGTATTTTTAATGTGCAATATATATATATATATATACTTTTTTTGTGAGATTTTATATTCAATCAGACAAGAATATTATTAATTGATAATAAAAAATAAAGTATGCGAAAGATCTTTTTTCATAGCAATAATTCGTTAATAACGTTACAATCACATAAATATGGAGAAATTATTTAACATGAAATGTTCCGATTGCATGCTAGAAAATGGGTTCAGAACTCGAGTAGCACCAAAGAAAAATATTAGAAATGTCTTTTTTTCTTTGACTTGTGGGAAGATATACTTTGACCTTATTATGGTACATTATCCAACAATGATCTATATTTGATGAACTTTCAAATGTTACAATTCTATCAATCAATTCGTAATTTTGTTTATTAGTGGTACGTTATCGAACAATTATTTAAATCCGATGAGCTTTCACTATTGAAAGGTAATATTGAAAGGCAAGCACATGGCCAAACCCTTGTCTACATCCAAGCACCAAAGTAATGACATTTGAATTCCATTGCACACAAAGTTCCACTTTGGCTTTCATTTTCTTCAAATTCATTTTAATCACACATTTTATGTATTCACAATTTTTACCAACCTATTAAAAACATATTTCATAGGACCCACAATTTTTTTTTTTTTTTTTTTATCAAAATCTACTAAAAATTTAATTTTTATTCAAATTTAACAAGAGCTTAGTATATCGAATAAGTAATACAATTAACATGATTTTTAATTAGTTTCCTTTTATTCTTTAATATTATCTCGTTTCCCTTCAATCAAGTTAGATAGTGTTGAGATTTTCCAGTCGTCTCCCTCTAGAGACTAGCTTATTGGGATTGTCCACGTCAATGCAATTATCAATTTCTTGGAGTGAATATAATTTAAAAAATAATCAATATCAATATTTTGACAAATTCGATCAGTATGAAACGTCGAGAACCTTCCATTTCATCCATATACAAATTTGATCAATAAAAGTAAATATTTCAAGTTAAATCTGATTTTATTTTTTTATTTTTGATATTTGGTATTAGAACAACGAACCGGATCGAACCAAAATTGATCGATTTCTTGATTTTAATACTCGGAATTTATTATAACTTGAGTAGAATCAGACTAAATCAATCGATCCTAGTTCGGTTTTGAGGTCCAATAATTTTAATAACTTTTGCCTACCCTACTTATAATATATCAAGATAAACTCAAAATTGAAGAAATGAAAAAGAAAAAGAGGACAAAATTGAAAGAAAATGAAAATTTTATGCATAAAATCGTGACCCTTACGTTATTATCAAAATGGGATAAGAAACACAGCTGTATGATGACATTTGTAGCTTCATCACCGGTAGGCAAAGTTGAGTTCATGCATGTCAATTTTCAATATTTGTTCAATTGTGATATATTAAATATAGAGGCTCATGGTCAATTTTTCAAAAAGTCATGTTTTAATTGTCATAGTAAGCCTCCTTATTGGTCAAATTATTAAAATTTTACTCTAATTTATTTTTGTTATTTCCATAAATGAATATTCAACTTGAGTAATTGGGTCAAGATGAGGAACTTTAATACACACTCGTTGATACCAGCTAATGAGAGGGCTTATGTTGAGTTGACGAAAGGGAATGAACTTTGTTTCGTTTTCGTGTTTCGGATTGGATCGTTTCTGCCAACGAAATTTTTACGAGAGAAAATGGCTCACAATTTCAAGAAACAATAGGCAAACTTTCTTTGACGAAACAAACCTGGTAAATCAACAAATAATATACAAGTTATTTTATACGTGAGGGCAAGAAAAATGTTACCTAGTTTGTCAAGATTTCTATATTTATTTAAATAACATTTTCAAATGCATCTGCCTGTACGAGCTAGCTTGGTTCAAATACCTAACATGGTACAATTTTCATAAATACAGTGTATAAGACTTGAGCCCCACGTCTTCTACTAAATTTTAATATTAATCATCGCGTTTAAATGCTCAATTTACTGAAAATGGTGATCTTTAGTTAGATGTTAGTTAATTTCTTTTTATTTCGTAATATTTTCTCGTTTCATTTCAAACAAGCCAATTTTTGTTAGATCTCTTGTGTCATCTTCCTCTTGACCGGGACTAACGAATTAGGATTGTCCACGTCTATGCAATTTTCAACTTAAATGAATATAATTTAATCCAAATTTCCTCGACAAAGAGCACCTGAAACGACATCCTCGTGTCAAGTATGAAGACGAGGCCTAAGACCAAGAAAAAGAAAATTTAGCCTTTAAAGATCCTTTAATTCCACGAATGTTTGACCAAGTCGACCAATATGAAACATCGAGAACCTTCCGTTTTATTTATAGATAAAAATAAATTGAATTCTTAAGCTTCAAAACACTAATTTATTTTCCAAATAATAAAAGGCAAATAGAATAATTCATAATAAAAAAATTATATAAAGAAGAATTATAAGATGTAACAAGAACACTCCGATAAATGCGTTGAAAATGACGTACACGTGGATTTGGAGTGCATAACATGTAAAAATATATTTTATTCTTTTTCTGTTTTGAAGCAATACTTATACTTTATTCATAGAGATATAGAACATGCATTATACAAGTAAACTTAATAATAAATAGTTATTTATGATCTAACAATATTTGCAATTAAGCCACTATTTGACAACCTTTAAAATGATTATTATTATTTTTTTTGGGCGAAAATGAATTTTGGAATTGGGATTTGGGCTCTGCTATTTGGATAGGGCTATGACGAGAATTTTCCTTGAGATTTTTTGAAGAATGTGTGTTTAAAAGGTAGAATTTTTTTAGAATTACGTGTAAAATATTTTATTGGTAGAATGCTTGGCTGAGAAAAAAAAGGGAATTTTGTTTTAATATTTATCAAATAGGTGCTAAATTACGACAAGAAAACAATGACTTTTGATTAAAAAAAAACTATAAAAGATTATATTTTTCTTATCGTTTTAATTCTGGCATCTTGTCGAGCAAGCTGATTTATGCCCTATCTATTTAATTGATGTTACAAAAAAAAAGGAAAATTAATCAAAACATCTATTTTGTATTGTGCTATACATTATCAAAATATACTTAAAAATTTAAAAAGAAAATAATAAGAAGGGACAAAATTGAAAGAAATTGAGAATTTTATGCATCATGATACCTTCGGAAGCTTCATCACAGCTAGCAAAGAGCATTTCTTTCTATTTACTTATTGATATACATTAATAAGTACAAAGGGACATGTGCAATTTTCCAAAAAGTCATGCTTTGATTGTCAAAGTAGAAAATGATCCATTTATTAATTTTTTATTTAGAAAGTCTCCTTATTGGTCAAATAATTTATTAAATATTTTCTTTAAACTTATTATTATTATTATTATTTTTTATTTCAGGGTGTGGAATTTAGTACATTGTTGGTACTAACTCATGATAGAGTTTAGGTAATGTTGCTTGAATTTTAACTAGAAAAAAATAAGCAAACTTCTTTCAGCCAAACAAATCGAGTAAACCAATACATGAACACAAGAAAAATGTCACCCACTTTCTAGAAACATAATTGGTACTTATTTATTTGACATTTTCAAATGTCTTTACAGTTGTGAGCTAGATTCATTCGAATACCTCATACGGTACAACTTTTGTAAATGAACGACTTTAATGATAAAGACTCAAACCCATAAATTTTACTAAATTTTAATATCATATTAATCAACCTGTCTAATCATCTAAAAATAAACCGATGGTTTCTGTACTGAAATTTATGAACATCAACAGCAGCAATGGAGACTAATCAAAGTGACGAGCCCATAGCACAACTAATATTTTGCTAGATGTCATCTTTTGGCCCTACGGAAAAAGCTGGTTACACTTGTACCCCACCCCACCCCACCCCCGTCCACCCCAGGTTTCTTCAAGTGTAAACGTGTACCCAATTTCTTTTCCTCAAAAAGCTAGCAACTTCATTTTCAAGATAAATTATTAATGCCAAAGCTCATCAATTTCATATAATCATACACTACCTCTACTTGGTGGATTCTACGTCATTTTCATTGATGAAAACAGGCTTCAAAGATACGTCATATTCATTCTCTTCTTGTCCATCACCTTCTTATTCCTCATCACTGCCATAGCCACGGAAGTGGTGGCGGATGAAGATGAGAAGGAAGAGCATTACATGCAAGAAAACGCCATCTGTAGCTTGTTCGAGATAGTTTCTACTCCGATCTTTTTGTAGGAGAGGTTTTGAAGAAATCACATTAAGTCAGCTTTTCTGAAAATTTCAAGCGTATGGATAAAAAAAATTTAATTAGACATGACAATTTAAAAAAATTATCCGATCAAACTCAATAGTAGCTTCTTAATTTCAAAAAACAGCAAAGAGGGGGAACGAAGGTGAAAGAGGCTGATGTGAAAAACATGGACAAGGGTGAGGAAACAGTACAAGATACCGCAAGATCTGCAGTAGAATTTGCAGAAGAAACTGTAAAGTGAAGAGAATATTGTCTGGTCATCATGTAGAATACTATGGGATTTGTTAGTTCATCAAAATGATGCATTGTGGGAACTATGGGAGATATATAAAAGTAGCTTCCAGGGACATTCTACAAAGTATGCAATTTGTGTTTATGTACTAAATATGCTCCTATAGTGTGGAATTTGCCAGGCTAAAAACACAGGCAGTGCTATGCCCAGACATTGAAAACTGAAATTGGGAAACTATGCTTAAAGTCAATCATAACACCACCAAATTTCAATCCAATGGGTCAAAAGGTAAACCATAATAATGGTTTTGTGACAAATTTATTACTTTATCTGTGCAATTCTGCACTACATTTGAGTATTCAATGCAAATAGAAATGAAAGCAATCAAGAAACTCCAAAGCTTCCTTCACCATATGAAACACCCATGGTTTCGGCAGAAAGCTGCAGTCACAAGGTAAAATGCCTGGATTAGTAAAACTTGGGCTGCTATAAGAGATGATGATAGTAAATATTTGTTCAGCAGATGTTTGCAAACCACACAAGAAATTCATTCATGTACTAAAAAAAAAAAAAAAAACTAAAATAAAATAAAATGGTACACTAAGTCATTGCACAAGAAGAATTGGCCATTATGAAAACAATGTTTTGTGGGGCTTAAGAAGTTTGTCTAAACAAAATCTTCGTATAAGAAGCATTTTTCCTATAACCAGGAACTACAAATTAGTGCTTTGGGATCAAATTTTCGTATAGCATTAGCACGAATAGAAACATATAAAAGCATTCCCATAGATCCATCACTTCCATAAATTTGATGCTTCTAAAGGATTGTAGACTGTAGCTTATACAAGGCATTACGTGGACCTTCGAGTTCCCAACCAAGGTTCTATGCTTCTTAGCCTGCTCTTTCAATTTCGAAAGACAAAAAAGGCAGAGTTATTTTATATTAATACCAATCGATGCTAGATATAAACAAAAAACAAACATCGTCTTTATAAGAGCCTGTTTGACAACCATTATTGTAGAAAAAAGAGTTTTGAATAGTGATTTTTAGTAGAATGTGTGGTTAAAATAGTTTTTAGTATACGTGTAAAATATTTTATTGTGTGAATGTATGGTTGAAAATGATCATGTAGTAAACCACGAAATAAAATAATGTGTGTCAAACAGGCACTAAATAAGAATATGTGGTCTCATTGGCCTCTCAATGGTGTAAATTCCATACGTTCCCAAATACCCTTGGTGAGTGGTGAATGCCTTACTGCTTTTACCATGGTGCATTCATAAAGTTATAAATAAACTTTTATGAGAATTTTGAAGAGTTTGTATGTCAATTGTAGTTGAGAATAAATGGTTATCTCCTAAAAAGTTGATCTTATGTGAGAGAAAATATAGGTCATAAACATCAAAGCCCACTTTATAAGCCAAAGCATGGGAAACAAAAATCAAAATAGCAATCTACTTGAATTTGGGCACGCTATTTGCTTCCTTTTTCATTCTCTATCCCTCCCTCTACCTGGAAAAGTTCCTATTTGCTGCATAATTGTATGAAAGGTCAAAACAAATTATCTGATGTCATTAGCATTCACATAAGATTTTACCTTAATCATTTTAAGAAGAGACTGCGCACAGAGATATTTCCTATATGTTGCACGTCACGCATTTCATGAGAGGTGTGACCAAAAAGAAATTTAACAGTTAACAACCAAAAAAACTCACTTTAACCGTGGAATTAGAGAGAAAAAAACTCCATTTTTTTTAAAGTTACTTTCTCCAGCTACTTAACAAGAGAAAACATTTACATTCCCTTTCAAAGACTCGATTCTTCATATGAAAGACAAGGAGATTCGAAGAAGCACCATTTTACCAGTACCAAGGAAAACATTTGGTGTGTACTTGACATGCATCGACTATACACAGGATTGGACACGATCAGATGATCATCTTAAATGCCAGTTGATCCTAGATGTCGCTATCAAAGAAATACAACAAAATGCCTAACTCCCATCTGCCCTATCCCCATACCACTTGATAGCTATGCTCTTCATCCTACCCTAAAGGACTCTGTCCAACTTAATTAATCTCATCCAATCTTCTTGTCTCGCAGGTCATTTTGGAAAAATGCAACTGGGTATAGTTTTTACAAAATATTTCAGACTTTCTTTCAAAAAACAAAAAGCCACGAATCATATTCATGTAGTATGCATGAGTCTGAATCCCCGAAAACAAAGAATACCTCTTGTAAAGTGATTTTCTCATATATTCTCCATGGGAAACTACACAAGTGTGTGAGCACCTTCTTTTGAATTGGAAGTCAAAAATAGAAGAAACACAAAGGAGGAGAACCACCATGCAGCGATGGAAGCCTCTCATAACTCTACATCACTATGTGCCTTCTCTCTCAAAAGGTGATGGAGACTCACAACTATAAGGGGTATTTGTAGCCCGTATGTGCCCTGCTCTAATTTGACAAAATCCCATCTCATTTGCAGTAAGGTCCCTAGTCAGCCAAAAGTATGTTAGTACTGCTTTTATAATTATGGAGCTATTTAGGAGACTCAATGGACCTTGAAATCCAAGCTATGGTGCCTACGTAGCTCCATAAGGGCAGTATGGATAATCTGATCAGGGACTACACTGCAATTAATGGAAACTTAAAAATTACAGCAATACAATGAATAGGGGCTATATAAACCCCTACTAGCCAGGAGCCTCCATTATCCAATAGAGAGAAGACAAGCAGTTAGTATAAAGGAGGAGCCACCATCACTAGGCCCCATGTGGAGGTGTGCAGTGGTTCTTTCCGTTGTCTTGCCATTTGTAATTCCCAATCCAAAAGGAGTCTACACTCGAATAACTGCCTTGGAGGATACTTGGGAAGATTTCATGGTTGGAAGTAATGGTTTGTGTCCATTATTTATCTGCTTGAACGAGTAGAGAAAGAAATCACGCTATGAGATGTGTTCCTTTTATTTATGCATTTTTTTGATTTTCACATAAACACCATGAGTTTGATTTTGGCCATTGTTCTTGAATGAGAAATCTGAAACAAATTTTAAACCTCCCATTCCGCTTTGTTTTCGATTTTCGGTTCCAAGAATGGATTTGGTTTTTGAAACCAACAATTGGTCATTGTGACCATCAAAACTTTCATAGTTGATTGAAGAAAAATTACAGTTGTTGCTTAGCCCCTGTTTGGCCCCCATTAATTTAAATTCCATTACATTTCATTTTTCTCTCTTCTATTTTTAACCACACAATCTTTTATAAAATAATATTACACATAAATCGAAAAATTTTCCTTCTTTTTCAACCACTCATTTTTCAAAAAAATACTATTCCACCCATTTTCATTTTCCTAAAATGGGGGCCAAACAGGGGATTAATTTCTTTACAACTCAAACCACTGATGCTTAAGAACTGCATTAAGAGGTAAACCAAGATGAGGGGAATAGGGAACGACCGCAGGGCCACAAAAGTTGGAAAAATCACAGTGCACTGCACAACAAACTCAGGCATAACCACAATACAGTGTATAAGATGAGGTGTGGTAGTGGTGAAAACTTTCCAACACACTGTCCAAGAAGTCCCTTAGGCCTTGTTTGAGACCTATTAATTTGAAGAAATGTATTATGGAATAGTGACTGATGGGGAATGTGTAATTAAAAAAGAAGGAAAAACTTTTGATTTGCGTGTAATATTATTTTAATGAAAAATGTGTGGTTAAAAATGAGTGTTGTAGAAAAAATGATGGGAAAGAATGTAAAGTAAAGAATGACAAATAGGGGATTAATTTAACCTGTAATCTTAAGCTATGTGAAGCACATTGTAAGGGATGTAATAATGTGCTGAAACTCCAAAAATAGCTCTTCTAAGTATCATATCCTACAAAACATACTGCACTTCCCTATATCACACTTGAAATCCATGGAATTGTCAACAAAATATCAACAATGTGAGGACAAAGATATTGCCAAAATGACAAACAAACCTACTAGGGATGGAAAATTAACAAGATGAATCACCCACCACAACCCTTTTCCCATTCAGCAAATAGTTTTCCATTTCAAGCTTTTCAAGGGAACTCAATGCCAACAAAGAATTAGGGTTTTGTGATTCGAACATATTAAAAAATAAATCACATTCTGACTGGCATACTACTGGACACACAATGTTATGAATGATTGACAAAAATATATTCAAAAAAACCTGGAAACCAAATAACAAGACAGTTAGAATAATTCAAAAATACAGGCGAACATAACCACGTTTGAATTTAAATCCACAATGACAACACTTTCAACAGGACCAATTCATGGATCCCAACAGGAATCAACAAAACTACAAATCACGGGGGGGGGGGGGGGGGGGACCGCTGCCCCACGTCAATTTTACCCAAATTAATCGACATCCAGCATAAGTAATTAAAAACCGAATTCAAATGGGGAGGTTCCAAAATACCTAAAAACATCGTCAGATCAATGGCCACCGTGTTCTTTGGCGTGCTGCTGGTGCTCGAGGTGGCGCCGCTCCTCGGGCAGGGCGACGAGGTAAGAGAAGGCCATGCCACCAAAGCAGACGTGATAAAGCGGATCAATGGAGCTGGTCTGTATATACTTGGCGTGGTAATTGTCCAGTCCCCTCTTTATGGTACTCTTCAGGTAATTCAAGGAGAGCATCGGCTTCACATGCTCCGGCACCTCCTTCACTTTCATCCCCTTTATCCCGTTGTAGAAATTCTTCGCCATTATCCTTTTTTTACCCTCTCCCTGATGCGTGATGCTGATGAAATTGCTGCAAATGGAGATCTGAAACCCTAACTTGTCCGCTATTTCATTTTTCTTTATTTATTCTCCAGGGAAATTGGTATTGTCTGGCGAAGGGAAATTGGTGGTCTAAACCTTTGCCCATATTGCTTTCTTGGTCCACACTTTTAGAAGATAGCGAAAATGTGACAAAACCTTTTGTATCTTGGCGTGAATGGTCACTTTGACTGGATTCCATCCCGTCCGAAGTGATCATCAAATTTGAAGCATGGACTGCACTTTATTCTAAAAATTTGAAGCATGGACTGCACTTTATTCTAAGAGTAAGAGCATATTTGATAGGGATTTTAATACAATTAAAATCAATTTTTTGAATGTTATTTCACTATTTCAACAATCACTTTTGAATTTTTCTCTCACAGGTAGGATCCACTTTATCTTTAACGGTAAAAAAAATCAATTAACAAAATTCCTACCAAACAAGCACTAAATTACAATGTAGCTCATTCTTTCACTAAAGTAGTAATCTTGTTCCTAACCATTTTTTTGTTTTATTTTGTCCCAGTCTTTAAGAGATTAAAAGTAATCCCTCATATTATAGAGAAGATTTTCAGAAAGACAAATCTCTCTCCCTAAAATAATTAATAGTTAAATGTAAAAGAAAAACAAAATGAAAATTCATTTGAAAAAGACCAAAATGTCCTCATCTTCTTCGTTAGATGAATAAAACCTAGCCAAGAAACGATAACTATTGTCAAATGTTATGAAATTTTTCTTCGCTATTGGGTTGTGATCAAACATGATAAAATATTGAGGGTGCGCAATTCAACTAGTAGCTTTCTTCGTCTTGTTCTAGCTCATGAAAATTGAACACCAAATGAAAATCTAAAGAGTTGAAAAACTTGTACTTTCGTCATACTTTACTCACTAAAATGCTTTCGAGCAATCACTAAAATAGTTGCACTCCATCACCCACTAACCATGTTGGATAAGTCAATAAACTTTAAAATGTTTTCAAGCGATCATTAAACTTTAACACCGTGTTTTCAAGTGATCATTACACTTTAACAGTTTGCACTTTGTCACTCGCTCACCGTGTTTTCATTAGTCACATAAGTTATACCATCGTCACATTTTACTTATTAAATTTTAAAATGCTTTTGAGTGGTCATTGATTTTCATAATATTTTTTTATTAAAGTTGATTTTCTATGAAATTCGACTTAAACCAAGAAAATATAACTATTGACTAGATAATGAGATTCTCAATCTAAGATGACAATATTGATATAGGCCAAAAGGACATAATTTCTCTAGTTGTCAAAATCTATGTTCAAGGAGAAAAAAGAATGCTAGTCTCAAATTGACATAAATCTTAATCTAGATCATAATTTTTCTTTACGTCGAGAAAATAAAATAGAGAAAATTTTCATTTATTTTGATTTAGATAGTAGACCTAAATCAAGAAAAAAAATTATATCTCAAATAGGTAGTGAAATTTTTGATTTAGAGTTAATATTATTAATCAAGACTAACAAAATATAAGTTTTAAAGTTGTCACAAGATAATTCAAGAGGAAAAGGGATCTATCTCTGTGTATGTATTTTATATTTCAAACTTTTCAATTTCTGAACAGATGGATTTAGTGAGTATGTTCACTAACCACTTAAAAATATTTTAAAGTTTAGGGAATAAAGCGTGGCAAATATATAAGTTCAGTGACTGATGATATGGTGAGTGAGTGATGGAGTTAACACATTAAATTTTAGTGACCACTTGAAAATATTTTTTTTAATTCAGTAAATAATGAAACATTATAATTGAGTGATGGAGTACAACATGCTAATGTTCGATAATCATTCGAAAGCACTTTTACATTCTATGAATAATGCGTAACAAAATTATAAGTTTAGCGACTATTGAAACATTTAACTTAAATCTATATAATCCTTCAACCATCTATCTTGTCGCCCTGCTACCACCAGCAGTTGGTTTTACCACAGCAAAGAGATGAATTGAATACTAATAAATAAAAAATAAAAAAATACATTGATAAAGAATAATATAATTACTCGAGTCTCGTGTCCAAACGTTCTCTTATGTACTATCACGTAATAGAAATCCATTAGGGGTAAGATGGACTCAAACACTTCCAAGACGGATAGGACATAAGAGACCAACTGAGTATTAGACTCGAGCTGTTACATAAATGTGCATTTTTTAATGACCCGAATCTCGTGGCCGATCGTTCTTTTATGTAATGTCTTCGTTGAGAGAGCTTGAACTTATTTTATCCTTCAAGGATTTCTATTGTATCCCCAAGATTTGAATTCAAGACTTCTACCTCATGAAAGATTTAAGCAGAATCCTGGTGCTAATTGCATTAAAGCTATCCCAAAACCTACAATACATAAGTTAACAGTTTGGACATAAAAATAAGATCGTTACCAAAAATGCACATATATATTTTTTTATAACGATCCAAACTTTATGTCTAGACATTCTCTTATGTATTGTTCACTTTAGGAGGACATCTGCCTTATTAAGATTTTGTGTCGCATCCTCCAAAATTTGAATTCAAGACCTCTACATATGAGAGACATAAACTTGGTACATGATTCAACTTAAGTCTTTCAATAGGCAAAGGACTTGGGTTTGAGTTTTGGGGATGCCATAGAAATTCATGAGGGATAAAATGTGATCAAGCTATCCCAGAGTGGCAGTATGTAAGTTAACGACTTGGAGGCAGAGGTCAAATTGTTACACATATGATCTACAAAACATGAAACTTAAAACAATCTTCAGCAATTCAAAGTCTAAATTCAACATGTGGTCCAGCATAAATTCAAATATTTAGTGAAAATTTAGTTTGACAATTAAACTATCGACATTTGGTTTTGAGCAGAAAATGAAACTACAAATAAGATGCATAAGGAAAAAGTTGTTACAAAACATTTGATAAAAACGTTACTATATTTATTCATGACAAAACTATAATACATAACTCAACAATTTTTCTCATGCTAATTGAACAATCCAACAAGTATGAGAAACGAGAATTGATAAAATGTGTAACCACATGTGGATGCAACCACCAAATCATGTTTATAACCACATTCTAGGAGGGAAACAAAATGAGGTTATTTAATACACAAATCAATTCTAATGTGGTATTAACAAATTTCGTCACACTATTTCTTTACTCTCTTTCTCCTCTCGATGTATGGAATCCTAATAGATGCTTAAGGAAATCGAATATGTGTCGATCATTGCCTATTTGTGTTAACAATATCGTTACTTTTGATAGGTATGGTGGCCGCCTCCATCATGCTACAAGCTGAAGGAACTTTCTCGGTTTCCGAGCACGACACTTCGAGCTCTATGGCTCCTCCATCTATTTGAAAAAAACATTTGCAACACTAACCGACATAAGTTCATTATTTTTAGTTTGCAAATTACGGAATGAGGTGAGAGTATTTAAAATTTTGAATTTCTCATAATTAATGCACATACCATTCACCTCTTGGTTTCCTCTAGGCAATGGACCTTCATGATTATCCGAGCACGGGTTTATACCTCCTCCATCTAATTGAAAAAAACCATTACAATACTAATGGACATGAATTCAATATTTCTAGTTTGCATATTACGAAATGAGACGAGTGTATTTAAAATTTTGAATTTTTCAGATATTAATACTAAACACACGTATAAGAAATCAAAAAACAAACTATAATATTCAAGAAATATTGTCTTTAACTGTTGAGAATGACAACTCATATTGAAAGATGACTCATCTACCGAGAATAACTGAAACGAACTGTCAGGAACGAGAGTTTATTTCGACACATGGGTTACATAACTGATCTTTTGAGAAGTTCTCGTGTGTCGAGAATTCATAACTGTACAAACTTTCATTGTGACATAATTAAACAATTCGCTTAGAAGACTCAATACCCATGTCTAACCTAAAAAAATATAATAAACAAGGGAGGTTAGAATGACAAGTATAATACAACAATCAATTTCCACAAATCAAACAAATTCAAAGAAATGTGAAATAAAAAATTGATAGAACGTGAAATATTTTTTTAGAAAAATATAAAAAAAATTCATATATAACACCCAAAAATATTTTAAAAAAATCAAAATGCCCAAAAAATTATAAACCCTAAAAAAATGGAGAAATCCAAATTACCTGTAAATGTACACTTTAAGCAAAGTCGAATCCAAAATGGAGAACAATCTAACTCACAGTCTAGATGTAGGGATCTCAAAATTAATGGTGCTATCTAAGAGAAACACAAAAAAAGGAGCATTAGTAAAAAACTTGAAACAAAACCTTCAATCGATCGAAAAAACACATATGTTCGAAACCTTATCTAAGATATTCTTTTTCTTCCTTTTGTATTAACGTAATAAATGAGATCCCAATGGAAAAACTTGCATTTCATATAGTTTTCCAAGAATTACGAGAGGAAACATATAAAAGAAGAAAACAAAGGAGAAATTTTGCAAAAAAAGTACTAGAGAGGGAAAAATGAATGGGTTAAAAAATTTTGTTTTATATATATATATATATATATATATATATTGTAAGGACTTTGAAGTACAATTGTGATTTGTGAGGTGATTGATTGTCACATTTTCTCCACTTTTTGTACAACTTTTTATGTTGTCAACTCAATGAAGTGTAGGGTATTTGAATCTTTAAGAGAGACAAAAATGTCCAAAATTGACAATCTTGGAAAGATTTTAAAAAGTGACATTTTTGTATATGCAAAGTCAAAAGTTGATTATTTTGGTAATTTCCTCTTTTGTACTATTTTAATTACTTACTTTTGGAGTTGTAGTCTATACTTTTGATATTGAAATCAACTATTTGAGTAGACTAATGGTGTTCTTAGTAATTGTCAAAATTAACTCTATATTTCAACAATTGTATCGGTTTTATTTATTGAAATTATGGAAAAAATGATTACACGTGTTGCTATCAAGAATCATGTTCTTTAATTATTATAGGTTTAATTAGTAATTGTCAAAATTAACTCTATATTTCAACAATTGTATCGGTTTTATTTATTGAAATTATGGAAAAAATGATTACACGTGTTGCTATCAAGAATCATGTTATTTAATTATTATAGGTTTAATGGTTATCAAAAAATAAATTTTTAAAATTTGAACCTTTATGGCGTACAAAAAGTAAAATGTCATATAAAATTTCATCATTTTTATGGCATGCTCGTGCACGTAGTAAAAAAAGAGACGAACAATTACGACATGCAAAAATGCTTGTCTTAAAAAATATTATTTTATTACTGCATGCAGACTCGTGCCATAAAAGGTTAAGCATTTATGGCATGCAAGGCATGCCGTAACTAGTTCATTAATGGCGTGTTTTTTTATTTTTTATGGCATGCATAAAATGCCGTAAAAAGATATGAATATTTACGACATGCGTCTATATACCGTAAACTATTTTTTTATGACATACATTACATCCCATAAAAAGCAAACTCTGTTGTAGTGTTGTGCTGAATCATTCCTTGCAATCCATATAAATCAAAAGATCAACATAGGAATGATAGTACCAATATGCCACAGTATACTACCTGACTTGAAAATCTCCATCTTCTATGCACTCCTTCATCGAACTAATATGGTATCTCAAATATGTTCAACAAAATGATGCTATACGTGGTCAGATATACTACTCTTTGTGATTAAGTGTTGGATGGTCTCTATCCCCAAGCAGCACTTCAATGAGAGGCCAAATGATAACAAATCCATCACTGAATGGCAACGTGCAAATCAGGCCAAGCATACAGTTCAGAACCAGATTGACGATGAGGAAACTGTCAGTATAAGATGTTATGAAAAATAATCACTCCTTTTTTCTACTTATTTGATGCAATTGTTACATTTATATATTTATGCACAAGCAGCATTTACAAATTTACTTCTAATATAGAGACCCGTTGCGGACAAGGAGAAATATTATGAGAAAGAACTTTGTCCTAAAAAACAAGATTCTATGGCTAAACCAGAGGACAAGGCCGTTGTCCAGTCATTGTTGCCTAACGATTTCTAGCCGCATCCTCCCTGTTGATCCAACTAATGTTTGTCTCATCGCTTATATTACTTGAGCTATAACTTTTCAGCACATCTCTTTTTCCCCCCCTTAAATCTTGATTTATAATTAGGTGCTATGAAAAACTACTCCAATATTTCTCTAAAATTATAAACAAGCCTATCCGCTAATTATTCAAATTGGTATTTTAAACTCAAACTTCACAAATCATCCTACAGAAACAACTGAGGCAACGTGTGATTAATTTTGGAACAAACTACAGATGTTGAGTAAGTTCTTTCATGCACATTCATTGAAAGACAGTTGCTATTAAACATTACTTTATTTCATGTTGCTTTATTGGGTGTTTGTCTCTCGAAATTCTTGTCTCATTTCTTTCTCTATTTTTCTTTTAGCATCCTACGTGAATTGGTATTGGAGACATTTTTTTCCCCTAAAGCTTATTGATGGGAATCATACTATAGATATTATTTCATCTAGTTTCCAATTTTAAAATTTATTTTATGAAACATAATTAGAATTTGATTTAATGAATTTTATTAGATATTTCCTACTTTGAATAGGCTCTTTGAAACCCTAATGAAGGAGCATATGTATCATAATTTACACTACTTCAAGTATGAAATGCTTTCATTTGTCTAATTCTTCTACCTCCTTCTATCTCCCACTCTTCTTCTCTTTTCCCCCTCCTTTGTCGTCTTCTTTCCCCTTCTATCATTCTCCTATAATTCTACTATTTGGTTCAATTGCATCATATTTGGTTCATACAGCGATAAGAAACTCCAAAAAATAAGATGTTCAACTTATCCACAAAAGTTATCATGGGATCCACACGAGGAGCACATATTCCTCTTGTACTTCAAGATTATGATGTAATTATATTATGTACATCTATTGCAGATGTACCTAGTAAGGCTCCCCAACATAGTGGCCATTGATCTGAGGTCATATGATCGAAGCACGTATGTTGTACAGGACTTGTTTGCAACGGATAGTTCTGGCTCTAGAAGGCATATTCCTTTCAAAAATATCATTCGTTGGAAGCATGTCAAGAATCCTGATGGTACAACGTCTTTGAGTTTATTTGTTGATGTTTTATCACTAATTTAACACATAAGATCATGCATGATCATGAAACTCTAGTCAACCCTTCATATTTCCATTGGCCATGGGCAGATTCAATATAGAAGTACAGCTGGAGTTATTCTACACATCATTTTTGGATTAAAATCCATGCCATTATTCTGAATTACAGAAAATGTGTAACTGCTTCACGACAACTTGTAATTTTTTGCCGAATGAAAATTATTATGATGTTATTATACAATTGTTATTTCAAAGCTCTCATATCTCGTTCTTGCTCCAACCTCCAAAATTACGGCAGGTCCATGACTTGGGTCTTATCGTCCTCATTTTTTGCTCGGCGTTACTAAATTTCCTCGTGTTTATCCATTTGTGGCTTTGAATATTGTGTTATGTTACCATGTAGTGGCTTAAAGTAGGAGCATTTGCCATTAGGCTGTTATTTTGAAGTCACCAGTAAAAAAAATTTTAGGCTGTGTTTTTATGAACATTTCTTTGTGTCTCTCTCTTCACAGGTGTCTTTTATATCTTGATCATGCAATTGTCACACGTCTCATAGTTATACAGTTATTGTGCAATGTAGCCCATGTACAAAATCGCCATACACTCATAAATTTATAATTATAGAACAATCTGAGACCCAAGATTGGAAAAGAATTGCATTTAGGTTAGGAAGTGGTGGAAAGAAACCTAGGAGTGTGTGACGTTTAAACCTCAATTTAATTGAAATCCTAGAAATTACGTAAAGGACTTGTGATTACAACTCTATCCAGGTCAAAATGGACATCATGTTTGATAAAACAAAAATGATCAAGTAAGAAATCTAGTTACCATATTCAAATATTACAACATAATTGAAAGTCATCACTCTAAATGGTAATCACAAGATACAAATGTAAAAGAAAAGAATCACATACCTCTAGCCAAAAGAGAAATCCGCATAGGGTTTTCAAGTTCTTTCATCTGTCATGTTTGAACTTTTTGAGCTTTTAATGAAGATCTGTATGCAATAACAAGTATCCAAGATTAGGCATAATAAAAGAAATTTAAGCCAGACAAGGCTTGCACAAGCAGACATAATAAACACTCCGAAACTAAAACTTGGGACTACCATTAGTGCACATTTCTATATTCAAGTAAAATACACAAATCCATGTTGGTTACTTTACTATTTCATCTCTCTCTCTCTGAACAAAGGCAAAACTATATATACATACACCAATTCCATCTGCAGAGTATGATTGATCCAACACGAACCTCACCCCCATTGACCTGCTTTCCTAAAGGTTTTAAACATTTATTAGCCAAAAATAAGCAAAAGTTAACTCGAGGCAAAAATCTGTGGGAAAATTAGAAAAATCTAACAATTCTCAACGACCTTAGATAGAGAAGTTTAAACAAAAGCTAAGAAAAGGCAAATTTTTGAAATTTTCAGATTTCTTACCTCGAAAAATGCGAATTTCTGCAGTTTTCTTTAAATAAAACAGAACTTGTTGGCCCAAACAAGGATTTTGCAAGGAATTGGAAATAGTTTTGGTGAGAAATCTTTGAACTTTGGCACTTTGAACACGACATATTTTTGGGGTATTTTTATAAAAGGCCTAAGCATATCAGTGAAAACTTTTTTTGGCCTTACTTACTATAGAAAAGTTTTTGAGGCCCTTTTTAGGTTGAAATGTCCAAATTATCCTTATACATATTGTTGAAACATTTCATATGCCTTTAGTATATAATGACTATAACGCCCATTTTTCAAATTATAATCGTTTTCAAGCGACTCTGGTCGTTTTAAACGACTCAATTGCTGTTTAAACAACTGTGGCCGTTTTAAACAGCTATAGACGTTTAATCGTTTAAGACGATCATAAAAACGACTACAATCACTTTAGATTACTTTAGAAATGGCACCATGAATTTTACAGTTAATTTGGATGAAAAACTTGTATTTGTAGATGATTTCAATTAAAACATTTACCGTGCGAGCATGTAGTAGTTGTGGCAAAGACGAGTGGCTATTCAATTTACATGTTTTGATCTCTGTATTATACTATTGAAAATTAAGAGTAGTTTACTATTTTTCTTGTGCCAAATGAAGTTGATTGATAAATTCCTAAAATTTTGGCTTCCTCAATGTGTTGCTGCCGTTAGTACTACGACGAGGTGGACGTACTAAAACAACAAGGATTCCTTCTATTGAAGAATTTTTCAAAAGACACAAATATAGTAAGTATGCCGCAAATGGGACACAACCGACTAACATGTATTAGTCTGATACCTTCTAATTGTAGAATTAATATATTGTTTGTTTAGTTAATAGCATATCGTTTAGATAACAATGCAAAACTGATTTCTATTTAAACTTGTTAGTGGAACACGATGAATTCTATGTAATGAAGTGCGTCTTTTTATTCATTTTAAATTAATAGGTCAAAACCAAACACGATTTAATAATATTAGAAGTTTGATTCTCACCTCATCTTGCATTATACATTATTGTAAGTCGCATACTTATTATTTAAATACGGTATACTTGAATATTGTTAGCAGAGCAAGTTAAATTGTATATAATGAAGTTTGTTTTCTTATTTTTTTTAACTAATTCAAATCAATTGTAAATCGTGTACTTGAAATCAAATACAATATATACTTGAACAATGTGTAAGGAGTACAATAAATTGTATACAATGCAATTTGTCTACATTTTAAACAATTGGATTCTTTTCAAACAACTCTAGTTCTATATAAAAATGATTAAAGTCGTTTAAAAAGACAATAGTTGTGCTTTACGAAACGACTGCAGTCGTTTAAAAAGACCATAGTCGTTTCGTAAAAACGAGTGTAGTCGTTTAAAAAGACCATAGTCGTTTCGTGGTCCTTTTTACAAAACGACTATGGTATTTTTAAACGTCTTAAAGTCGTTCTTTTAGGAAAAGATTGGAGTTTTTTCAACGACTCTAGTAATTTGGGAAAAAGACAGCAGTCATTTTCCCTAAACAATTACAGTAAACAACCGACATTTTTGAAAAAATTCAACATTATCTCCATTGTAATATAGACTAAATCAATCTGAAAAAATAAACTACTATTTATAACACAAAAAAACCACATTTAACATATACTATAAAATTATAGAAACTCACTTCGACAGCCCACTCACATGAGTGGGTCCCGCGATTATTTTAATCGCGAGCCCACTTGTGTTATGTGTGAGGCTGTAAAAAATAATGTAAAAATAGGTGTACTTATAGCATAATTGAAAATTATATTCACACTCATTAACTCATAAACATACAAATACATCAAAAGTTCCTAGGGCTCATAATCAAGGGCAAAAATATCAACAACCATCTTTTCTCTTCATCTATTCATATAAAACCATTAACTTGTTCTATCGGATCGTTGATGCTCAAGAATTCTATATATTTCACTACATACATACCACAATCGCCCCTAAAAGATAATAAATAATGGTAAACAAAGTGAAATAACTAAATGAATATGAACATGTGAATATTTGATTGTAATAAAAAACATACAAAACGGCTAGTTTAGTCGTTTTGGTAATCCTTTCTACAGCAAGAGTATTTGTCTCCAAATCGATGTTGATTTTCTTTAGAAGTAGCGGGATGGACAATGATACTAGCAGCCCTAGCGCCTTTGCATGCACATACATCTAGAAGGAGAAGAGGGAGGGGGCCACTCCGTCTATACTCTGATTCAAAGACTTAAATATAAACTCTTAAAAGAATACTGTCATTAAGATGAAAATGCACAAAAAATTAGCCTAGACATGGAGTATATCATCCTAGAAAATCAAATACTACTACTCAGTATGGATACATTAGAATTGAATAATTAATTCATAACAATTAAACTTCATGGCATACATGAGCCAATCCTAGTGTGTTAAACTACCTCTTCACATAATAGATAACAACGCTTTCAAAGTGAATCTAAAATAATTACCGCTAAATGGTAAAACCCAAATCATCAATAGCTCTACCTAGTTCCATTTCAGTGATCTCTTGACTGTCTCGCCTTCGTTTATCGTCTTGAGGCCATCATCCTCATTTCTTAAATCATCTGGTGTTATACAATCTTGATATCTGAAACAACTGACAATCTTGATATCTGAAACAACTGATGAGATGGTCACTTGTAATCCCAGCCGCTTGCATAAATGAGCACACAACCGTAGGTCCAACTCCTCTTAACCCTCTTCTAACCAAGTCTTTGCTTATGGTATTCTCTTTTGACGTCGTAATAGGAACTGGTTGAGGATAGTGGAAATTACAAATTATAGGCTTGTAGTTAACAAAACCCCATGTGTATTTGTCGAAAGACCCTAGTCATCTATTATCTGAATCATGAGAGGTACAAACGTGAGACCAATTGTACATACAAGTTCATTATTCATAACTACAATTTTTTTTTCAACCTTCTTTATAGCCTCTTTATTGTTCAATAGGAGTGATGGCTGGATTAACAAATTTGGCATTGGTTCTTGGTGAACCCAACTGCACCATAAGTTCAAGGTACCAGTTGTAAACCCATTTCTATTATGTTGCCAAATTATACATGCAAAAGGAAATAAAGTGATTCAAATTCTCCAATATACTACTTGCCTGTCATTTATCAATCATTCTGGTCAAAGAAAATACTGGATAATTGCCTAAAACATGTAGTTACTTAACCTTTTCGAGGAGATACTCGCTTTCGTATCAAGCCTGAGTAGTGAGTGCTTAGAAGCTATTTTGTTAGCTAAACTATGAGAAACATAAAAACTAATATTAGCCCGTTTGACAATCATTATTTGAAAATTTTGTGTTCTACATACTCATTTTTAATCACACAATAAAATATTTTGCTGTAAATCCAAAATTTTTACTACTTTTAACCACATATTCTCCTAAAAATTACTATACAAAACATTGTTTTTCCCAAGTAATGGTTGTCAAACAGGGGCTTAACTTCATCATTGTCAATCTAATAAATATCTGAAGCCTTTTTACTACAGCTCAAGGTTCAAAAGGCAATGTTTGCCTATCCCTAAGAAGAAAAACAATAATAACACTGACAAAGAGATCACGAACATTCTAATAACATCATTGAAACTAATCAGGAAAAATGTAAATCTTGTAGTGTGGTAAAATTTACAATAAACAATGCGATCATCACTTACCTTCAAGATTTGAGGTGCATCTTTTATTATTGCTCCCAGCTTAAGTTCCGACAGAAGAGAGCTGGCAGGAGTTCCTAGTGTTGCTACTTTCTTCTCATTTAATTTTGACATTGAAATAGGATCAAAGTCCGGAAAGACTTCTCTACATTCAGACACGCACATATGTAATCAGCGACAATAGAGCTCATGAAAATTGTAATAATCAAATTTCTGCAACCATTGTCTGATTGTTGAAAATATAACATATAATACTAAGATACCTAAATATATCCCTTTTGTTAAGAAGGCAGGCCATGTTAGTTCAGACAATGTCGTGGAGAAGCTCAACAATTCAAAAGGGTTCCAGCAAATTGTCAAAAGATTAAGGAAGCCATAAAATAGGGTCGTCTAACAATTGGAAGCCAAAAACTCAAAAAAGTAAATAAAGTTGGAAGGAGTCACATACTTATCATCATGAACAGGAACTCTCCACTCTTCATCATGAAAAGCAGCGTACAATGGATCTTTTAGAAAATGGAAACGAATTAGCGCAAGGAATGCAAAAAACGATAGAATTTCTCATAACAAGAACATAAAATTGTACATTACCAATAATTAAAATTACAAAACCTGGCAAAAAAAAAAACTATCAAATCTATGTATTTTATGCAATTGAATGCTGAACAAAAATAAATATATAACTTATTTTCTTCAAGACATAGCCATAAATCAACATGTCGGAATGGTAACAAAAAAGAAATACTCAAGGAACAAATTATTAAAATGACTCACGGAAAAAAAAATAATACTCATAAGACCTAAAAGTTTATGTAAAAAATTATTCAAATTTACCTCAATATATGCAAAAAATATTTCAATCCTTCCTCGCAACCTTGAATGGTTCCTCAAGCCATAAATAGTGGTGGTCGTTAAAATTAGATTGCTACAGTTGAAGTTTGCAAATGCCCATTCAATTTCTGAAGGTTTAAAGCTTGAAGGTACAGCTTCTTCTTTTTCCCGTTGCTTCTTCTTCGCTGGCTTGATCTCTTTGAAATTTGGAGCCGTTTTCTTCTCTTTAGGGCTGAGGGTAAAAATGATAAATAGAATATGAAAACATTTTTTCTTTTAAAGTAGATAAGGTCGGTCAAAGGACAAAAATTTTCTTTTAAAGTAGATAAGGTGGGTAA